CGGGGCCTGCTTCAAGCCATAGATGGCCTTGTTAAGTTTGCAGACACGACCGGTTCCATCCTCATAGCCAGGTGGTTGAACCATGTACACCTCCTCTTCCACAATGCCGTACAGAAAAGCGGTTACGATGTCCATCTGCTTCACCTTCCATTTGCGCACAGCAGCTACCGCCAGCAGCACACGTAGCGTTGGAGACTTAGCAGTTGGGGCAAACACTTCTTTGTAATCTTCCTTCTCTTTCTGCTGAAACCCCTTTGCCACCAGCCTGCTCTTGTAAACTGATGGCTCTCCTTTCTCATCCGTCTTGATTTTTGCCAGCCACTTGCACTGTATTGCCTTCTTCCCATTTGGCAAGTACACCAGGTCCCATGTGTGATTCTCCATCTTGCTGTTGTACTCTGCATCTCTTGAAACGAGCCACTTCCCCCGTTGAGGCCCGGCTAGCGCATGATCCATGCTCGGAGGTTGTATTGGTGCGTAAAAGCAGTATGCAGGCTCCTTGTCATCTGACTCTTGGTCATCACCCAAGAACAGCACTGCATCTTCGCCTTGAGCCTGTTCCTGCTGCTCAGTTGTGGCTCCTCCACTTGTGGAGCTCAACAGCTTTCTCATTGCCATTCTGGTACGTGCAGGGTAGATGGTTGGATTTACCCATTCTTTCACCTTCACCCAATCCTTTGTCCCCCCACCAATCTGTTTCCTTCGCTTTGGCAGACTTGGTGTTTTGGAAGCCTCTTGCTGCTGCTGCTCCGGATCCTTGACTTCAGCATCAGCTGCAATATCCTCATTGCTTCCTTCATCAGTACCGCTTGCCGTTGGCGCAGTGACTTCGCTGTCCTCAGGTTCGGACAGATCGAAGTGCATAGTGATCTCTTCCAGCTGCTGGGTGACCCTTGCCTCCGGCTGCTTCTCCCACTTGCCATACATGATGTTCTCCACAAATTTGACATCCCGACTATCAAACAGCACATTCTTTGAGGGCTCCCAGAGTAGCCACCCCTTGCTCTCTGCCGCAAGCCCAAGGTGCACACACCAAAGTGCAGATGCTCCAAGCTTTGTCCTGTACGGTTTAGGGACATGCGCCACTGCCATGCATCCGAACACTCGAAGCATGTCCACTGGAGGCTTCTTTCCAAGCCACCTCTCCAGCGGCACCCACATATCATCAGCCACCTTTGTGAGTACGCGGTTCCTTGCCACTGTAGCATGCCTCACCGCATGAGGCCACATGGAGTTCCCCAGCCCTGATTCGATCAGCAGCGCTCGCGCAGTTTCCAGGATGGTCCTATTAGCCCTCTCAGCAACGCCATTTGACTGAGGGGTATAGGACGTCGTTAGCTGATGCTCAATGCCTTGTTTCTTGAGCCACGCAGTCAGATCTCCTCCTAGAAACTCTCCACCTCGGTCGGTTCTGATGCTCTTGCATGGGTGCCCAGATTGTCGCTCGACGAACGGCAGCCAATCATCTCGTATTGTTGAGGCAGCATGATCCTTCTGCTTCAACGGGTATGCCCACATCAGCCGACTCCAGTCATCAACTATTGTCAGGAAGTACCTTTCCCCCTTACTTCCTCGGACTGGAAAAGGTCCTACGAGGTCCATGTGCACCAGTTCCAGTGCTGCCTTGCTTTTCCCAGCTACGCCGTGAAAGGGGAACCGTGTGAACTTGCTCAGCAGACACGTCTCGCACTTGGTAGCATTTGGTTGCCCAGAAAGCTTGAGCCCCTTTACTGCTTCTTCCTTATGCAGTTGCTGCAGCAATGGCATAGCCACATGCCCTAGACGCCTGTGTGCGGTTTCCCAATCAGTCTCCCCCGACCTTGCAGAAACCGTCACTCCTGCAGCACTAACTGCATTACACTCCCCCTGGACTCCAGAACCCGCCTTTACTTCTCCCAACTCCTTCTTTGTTGATTCCCATATCAGTGCAGGGATCTGCCACATGGATCTGAAGACATCTCTGCTTTCGTGTAAATCCCATAACACACGATCTCCTCGCAGCCCCTTGAATGTTTTGGATCCATTGGTGGTGGTGCTGACTCCGGCCTGGCCTAGCTTGCGCAGCGATATCAGGTTGGCCTTCAGCCCCGGTACGAGTAACACATCCTTCAGCACAACCAGTCCACCATCAGGTGCTCTGAATGCAGCTCGACCAACTCCAGCGACCTTCACTGCATGTCCGGATGCTGAGCGCACTTCAGAGATTGGAGGCGCTCGCACAGCATCCAGCAAGTCCTTGCGTGGTGTCATTGTCCATGCAGCACCAGAGTCCATGACCCACATGTCAAGCGGGTGCAATTCCTCTCCAGCCCTTGCAACAGCTGTGCCACTGTCATCTTTGTCACACACATGGTAGAACTGTCCAGCATTCCTCTCCTCATTTCGCATTCCTCTGTCATCCTTGGAGGTTTCTTCAGCAGGATCAGCTACCATGTTGGCACCTCCATGTGGTTGTTTTCCTCCATTCCCCTTCTCCGATTGGTTCCAAGGGGTCCACCAGTCGGGCTTGGTAGGGCAGCGAAACCATGGATGCCCTTCTTCCTTGCAATACCAGCACTCTCCCCTCAAGCGTGGTTCACTGTTGTCATTGTTGGAGTGACCACCTCTTCCTCTTGCACCAGCGCCACCACGCCCCCGCTGGTTCCAAGTCCCGCGACCACCTTGGCTGTGGTAAGAGCGACCGCGATTGCCACGCCCTCGATCCCTCCATGTCCCTTGCATGGCATAGCCGCTGGTGCTGTCATCACCTCCGCGCAGTGTATAGCGACGAAAATCTTCTTCCAGAATCTTGGTGCGAATCCACTCCAATGTCCATTGACTTTGGTTTTGTGGCAAGCTGAGTCCGCTTATAAATTGCAGCCAAGACTCCGGCAGCAGGCTGAGCATCTTGAGACACTTTGTCTGCTCTGGGTACGTGATGCCTGCAATCGCCAATTTCGCGTAGAGTTCCCTCATCTTGTCCAGTACGGGCTGCACAGCTTCATTCTCGCTCAACCGCAGCATGGACAGCTCCCGATCCAGCATGAGAGAAGCGGCAACCGATGTCGGAGCGTGCAGGTCCTTGAGCACTGCCCATGCCTTGGGCCCACAATCAATTTCCGGTAGCAGATGCATGATGTGATGCCTCTGGTTCAGCTCCAAGCTTTGTGACAGTAGATAGTACCCAGCAGATGAACGTTCATCCCAGTCCGCTTGCTCTGCCATTTCCTTTGGCCTTGGCTCCGTTCCAATCATGAGCTTCAAGAGGCCAATTTGTCGAAAGTAGAGCTGCATCTTCCATGCCCAATCATCATAGCCATCTCCAGAGAACTTCTCAATGGTGAAGTTCTTCAGCACCTCCTTAAGCAGTGACCCCTGGCTTGTACGCGCTCCCCTTTGCGCTGCAATGCCAGAATCTTGGGTTGAGCTGCCTCCTTGGACTGAAGTATCACCTCCACCAGAGTCCTCTTTATCTCCCATCGTATTTTAGGTCCCAAATGCGTGATAATAGGCTCTGATACCACTTGTTGGTTAGAGAAGGCTATAAGCAGATGATTCAATGGCTCCTTGGAAATTTCTGCAGCACTTCGTTATGACGCCCAGAAAACTCGCGACCTTCGAATAGCTATATCAAAAACTCCAATCGGTGAAACGATCTGAAAATCGGATATGTTGTAGCTGGCAGTGTCAGCTTTCCACTGAAAGTTGAATCACTCGATTCCGTAGCTAAACGAGTGAGCTATGGCGTTTGGCGCACTGGGGGGTAATCTGCCCTAGGAGAAGTTGACAGTCCTCAGAGTCACTATGATTGAAGCTTACAAGTTCAGAGACATGATGGAAAAGGCATTGAAGCATAGTTGGAAGGTGGGGTAGGAAGTGAAGGATGAAAGGGAAGGACCCTGGAGGCCCATGGTCAAGAACATGACAAGAGTCAAAGTTTTGACTCCCCATCCTCAGGTTCAGCCAGCCTGGCAAGACAAATTTCACACTGTGCCAGGTTGGCCTCCAAACCCCAAATGCTGCAGCTGCAAGGTGGGGACAAAAGTCCCACACATGCTGGTCCCTCCTCGTTATAGGGCTCTCCAGCTTTGGTGTAGCAGCTGACAAGGACTTCCAATGAGTTGTAACAAATCCATCAAACATTTCTTCGTAACTTCTTCATATGTGCTCCGATTCCAACAATTCTTGGCTCGTTGGAATGTGCTCGATGTCATGCACAATCCAAGCACATCTGCACAAGCACAAGATGAACATGCAAAGACATGCAAACCCAACAAACCATACAAACAACGTAGCACACAAAACACATGCAAACGAAATGATGCGAACAGACGACAGGATGACGTGCAAATGAATATGCACCAACATCTCTCTCTCTCTCTCTCTCTCTCTCTCTCTCTCTCTCTCTCTCTCTCTCTCTCTCTCTCTCTCTCTCTCTCTCTCTCCCTCTTTATCTCTCTAATTCTCTCTCTCTCTCTCTCTCTCTCTCTCTCTCTCTCTCTCTCTCTCTCTCTCTCTCTCTCTCTCTCTCTCTCTCCCTCTCTCTCTCTATCTCTATCTCTCTCTCTCTCTCTCTCTCTCTCTCTCTCTCTCTCTCTCTCTCTCTCTCTCTCTCTCTCTCTCTCTCTCTCTCTCTCTCTCTCTCTCTCTCCCTCTCTCCCTTTCCCTCGACCTAGGCCCAGATTTCCAGTTCCTGATTATCAGAAGGCCAGTTTTCCAGTTGCTGGAAAATCAGAAGTCTTGAGCGCAAACTATTGCTATTCAGCAACATCTCCGGAACGATTGGATATTCGCAACTTTGGGTCAGACAGGTTGGATTAGACATGCGCAGTACATGGCAGTGCGGCCGAAACCAGCATAACGATGCAGTTCAGTAAGACAGATGCACTTCGAAAAAAAATTAGGAGAAAGTAAAAAGGACAAATAATAAGACAAAGAGTCGGATTTTGTCTGATAAGGAGGACCCTGCTTGAGATTTTCCAATAGTGCAAGCGAGGTCCCAAATGAGACAGAAGCAAGAGAGGTAATCTGCATAAAGAACAAGAGAATAAGTGCATAAGATAACACACAGGGTGTCCTCTAAGACACATCTGATAATCGTTTGTGTTTCATTCGAGTATTTATGGTATGCCCCCACTACGCACTTCCAGATGAGCTACCCGATACGCCCATGTTCTTCACTCGAGCAATCTCAGCATCGAAGTCCAGATGAAACGAGGTGTCGATTTCCTCATCAATGCGAGATGCAACCCTTTTTGCCTGAGCTCCAAAAGCCTCCTCCCTCATCTTCACCAGATCTACCAGTGCTTGGCTCATGGAGGGGCGGGAGGCCGTGGGCATGGCAGTGCAGGAGAGGGCAAGGCGGGCCAAGCGCAGCACGAAATAATCTGGTGCGTCCAGCCAAGGGTCCTTGAATGCCGATACTGTATTGGATTCCACCAGCGGAGCCACCTGCATGGTTTGAAGGACATCGCACATGGAGGATCCTTGAGATGGCTTTGAAACCACAGATTTTGAAGAGGCCATGGAGCGTGGTATAGCGTCACCACCACTACAGTTTTGACAGGATATGTTTTTGCATCAACAGAATCCCTGACTTGCTACGACTTCCGTTATTTTCGTTGTCCTTTTACACCCTATTGATTGCTATTTTTGTCTCACCCATTTCCTGAGGTTGGTGTGGGTGTCCTCTGTCACATGAACTGCCTTGCGTGCTGTGATGACCACCAGCATCACCACTCCAAAACTGCAAATGCAAGGAACGAAGTGAGCACATCATGTGTTCAAATTTCCCTGATTCACCAAAATCGGCTGTAAGCCACAAAATGCCACAGTGCAGAAGACAAACAAACCACGAACAACCTAGCTCAGGAAAATCATGCGTTGCATAGTTTTCATGAACGGCTGCGGATTGCTAGAGTGAAAAGTTGAAGCCACTTTGCTCACCTATAGACATCAGCAGCTGGAGTGGCCTTGTGCGACTTGTAGTAGGCTGGATCCACAAAGCCTGGTGTTCCCATCACTCGAGTGGCAGCCACAGTGGTACCCATAGAGGTGCCTCCAGTCAACTTCACAAGCCCAAAGTCGGCAATCTTGGCCTGCCCAACAAACAAAAATTCACCATCTTAATAAATACGGAGTGTGTGGGCGACTCATGGCTGGTTGATTCCAAGATACGACCACATGGTTACAGTAAGGGAGGGGAGAGACAAGGTTAGGAGAGGCATCTTCTGCCATGCCTGCAAGTGCAGAAGGGTTACACAATCTGGACATGCCTGCATCTTTGCATCGAGGAGGATGTTGGCGGGCTTCATGTCGCGATGCACAATGCCAAACTCATGCAAATACTGCAGCCCCTTAGCCACTCCAATCAGCACGTCCAACCGTTGCTGCAGAGAAAGCGGATTGGAGACACCAGGTCCAATCCAACTCTCGAGATCATTGTTCTGCATGAGCTCATAGACAAGGATCTGCTCCATCCTTCGTGTTGCTGGATTGAAGTCAATACAGTAGCCCAGCAGCCGCACGAGATGAGGGTGGTGCTTGCTTGCCATCTCTTTCACCTGAGAGGAAAAGGAGAGTTAAAAGATGGGTGGTGACGAGATGCGAGGGAAATGAATCTTCTGTTTGGCAGATTCCTTAGTGTTTGAAAGTGTAGCTATTTCACAGCATGGTACCTCTATCTGGAAGTCATTGGTGAGCACTCGAGCTCGTTTGACTGCCCAAGCTTGATTGCTATCGTACGGAGACACGCCCTTGTACACGTCACCAAAGCTGCCGCTGCCAATCCTGTTCCTGTCTGCCCACTCTTCTGTAGCCTTTTCCATCTCCACCAGAGAGTACTCCTGACACACATCTGGCCGTGCTGTCTCCATATCCACCAGTGCACCTTGATGTTCCGCGTTTCCTACTGCTGCAGCAGCTGCAGCTGCTGCTGCCGCCCGTATCGCTCCTGTTCCAGCTTCCAGACCCTCCTCCTTATGGCGTCCTTCTGCATAGGAATTGGGTGGAGGGAGAGGGAGGGGGGGGGTGTGTGTGTGTGTGTGTGTGTGTGTGTGTGTGTGTGAGATAGAGAGAGAGAGAGAGAGAGAGAGAGAGAGATAGAGAGAGAGAAAGAGAGAGATAGAGAGAGAGAGAGAGAGAGAGAGAGAGAGAGAGAGAGAGAGAGAGAGAGAGAGAGAGAGATAGAGTGATGGAAAGAGAGAGGTAGAGAGAGAGAGAAAGAGAGAGAGATAGATAGAGAGAGAGAGAGGGGATGAGCCTTCCCTTAGCTATATAAAGCCCTGTCTGGGCCCTTTTTCCCTGTTTTAGTTCAGTTCTTTCTTTTCTGCCTTCTTTAGTGGCGGCTCGCGCAGGCGGCCTTCGGTAGGGGATGGCAAGAACGCTGGGAAACAACGACTCGACATCCAAGACAAACACCCAGCCCCTAAGACGCAACCAAGCCCTACAGCGCCCGATCCAATGCCATCAGCATGGAGGGACTCCTACTGCTAGCGGGGCGCTCGCCAACCGCCGAGACTGCCGCTGACGCGGGCAGACCGCGAACATACGCGAGGCGCCACTCCGTCACTCGAGCTCCACGGCCTCTTCCAGCTGTGCCGTCAGTAGGCCCACCAGCACCCGCAGCGTGGACGCGCAGCTGCCTGCAAGATTTACGGCTGACGCCAAAGAGATGCTCTCCGACATCGCTTTCATTGCGGCGGCCACGGCTGGGTCCAAGCCACTTCCCGGGCCGGGAACAGGCAGCGCTTGCCCCATCACCACCACGAGGTCCCCAAGCGCGTCCGAACTCGTCCGCAAGTGTGAGTGCTGCATTTTTCGGGAGCTCTCTGACCCCAGCAGCGCGGAGTGCGTCGCCTCCACGACCACCGCGAGCAGCCCAAATGCCCTCCTCGTCTGGCACATCCGACGGAACGTGGCTGCTGGAACCACGACCACCAGCCCCGCCCGCCGTCTGCTAGGCAGACCCTCGTCCTGCACCCTCAGATGGATCCGCGTCCCTCCTGGGCGCTGGGTCCCCGACAGGGCACGGAGGCCAGGAGAGATCTCCTCCGGCGATTCCATCCCCCCCGTCTCCGCTGCTTCTGCCCCCTCCTCAACTCCAGTTGGGGACGCCGCCAGTCGACAGGGTGGCACGAAGGGCTCATACACCCCCACACCAGACGCCGAACCGGGACGCCCCGGAAACCCAACCCACTGATCGGGGGCGAGGGGCAGCGGAGGTGGTTGCCACTCGGGGAGCGTATCACTGGAGGTTGTTGGCGTGTCCAATGGGGGAGACGCCACGGGAGGGCGAAGCTCGCCATATGCAGGCGGTGGGGGTCCAAGGAGCGCCGACGCCGGCTGGAAGCCCTCTGGTGTATGCGCTGGAAACTGCGCCGGCGGATGCGGAGGGGCGAGGAGAGGCGGGAACGGATGACGCAGACGCGGATGCAGCGCAACGGGCACGGTGGGAGCAGCCCCAGCCATCGGCGCGGTCGGAGCGAGCGCCCGAACGCCACTCAGGATGCCCTCAAGCGTCCGGGCGTTGGTCGCCAGCTGGCGCTCGAGAGCCGCTGTCTGCGCGGCAAGGCCGGCGCGACGGCCACAATGCTGCCCAGCACGCCTGCCGCCCCCAGGTGTCCCCCGGGGCTGCGTTGTAGGCGGGCCTGGACGGCCTGGAGAACGGTGGGGAGCCGGCTGCTGCGGGGAGGGGTGACGCGACGGCAGCTGCAAGGACCGGGGGCGCTCGGTCTGCTGCGGGGGCAGGGCGCGGGACGGCGGCGACGGCGACAAATTACGTAACGGCTAACGCGGGGACGCAGGATGCGACGGCGGACGCGGGGAGGCAGGACACGGCGGACTCCGCGGGGATGAATAGCGCGAACTCTGCCGGGGGGGTGGCGGACGAGTTGGCGGGCGCGGCGACAGCGGTCGAGACAATGGGCAGTGAGGCGACAACGCCGCAGGGTCACCGATACGCTCTTCGCGTACGGGCCCCGGGGTCCTTCCCCAATCATCGCGCCGACCAGGCGTCGCCGACCTACTTCCCGCGTGGGACCGCATGGGGTCCGGCGACTGCCGCTGGCTACGGGGAGCGGGGATCCCCCGCTCCCACAGCCGAGCGGAGTGGGCGGACAGGCTCGCCAGATCTTGGGGGCGCCCGCTATCAGCCGTGCTCGACAGATCGACGGATCGCTCCCGACGGCTGCAAAACCGCCCCTTGCCCTCCATCGAGCACACACCGCCGCACTCCAGCGACTACGGGTACGCGTCTCGCGCCGACGTGCCAAACGCCGCGAGGAGGCCGGGGCCGGGGAGGAGGCCAGGGGAGAGGGCGCGGCAGGGCGGGCGAGCTCATGGCAGGGGGAGGGCCAGTGAACGACTTCCAGAGGGCTGCAGGACGGGCTTTAAGGGCCAGAGGGAGGGGACATGCAACTGACGAGGAGGGGAGGAGAGGTGCAACTTATAGAGAGGAAACACGTGACGAATCAAGCACAGAGGGATCCGAAGGGGACGATCGAGACGAAGCACCTCGGAGGCAAGCGTCGTGATGCGCACGGAATGCCCCATCTGCTAGGGCTGATTACAGGCCGAACGTGCGGAACCAGCAGGACAGCGCGGAGCAGCCCAGCCAACCCCAGCGACAATTTTCGCCAGCAGAGTTGGCCACCAACAAACAGCTTTTCGCGGGGGTGGCCAGCTGGGATATTGGGCTCCTGTGCGAAAGTCGCCAGCCCCCCATGCGAAAGTCGCCAGCCCCCCCTTTCCCGCAGGCTCCCCCCCAAACTTCGCCAGCTTTTCGCCCTCGCCCTGCTGACACCCCTACTCCATCTCGCAGCCCAGCCTACCAGCCTGCCAGGCTGGCGCCTGTTACTTTTTGCACCTCGACTGACACTTCGCCTCAACTCGCCGAAGCACCCTGATTGGCCCACCGTGGAGAAAAGGTTGCAGCAGTTCTTGGCAGGCGATTGGCACGAGCTTTACCTGGCAGTGGTGGATGCCTTTCACAACCCACCGACGCCACGTCACATGGGGGACGCCCTCGGCAAACTATCCCGAGCCGAGGGGCTGGTCCGCCGTAGTAGCCAGAGGCATGCCCTGCTGGCATTGGATTCAACACCAGTCAGCGAGTCAACCCCTGAGGTCCTCGCGGCGTTGAAAACCAAGCACCCAGCCCCGCTGACCGAGTCTTTCGTGTGGCCACACATCGACGAATCGGAGCCCCCCCCCTCCCTCACGCTCGCGGAGTTCACCAGGTTACTGAGTCGCAGCGAAAATGGGGTCGGCACGGGCCCCTCGGGAATGTGCTTCGAGCACATTCGCGATGCAGCCCTCGCCAATGGTGCCGTCGCCAGCAAACTTCACGACCTCATTACTCGACTGATGCGGGTCGACACTACACCTGATGTAGCAACACTCCTCACAGCCAGCCGCCTACTCGCTTTTCCAAAACCTGAAGGAGGCACGCGCCCGATCGTCGTGGGCGAATGCCTCCACCGCCTCGTCGCCAAAGTGGCCCTTATCTCGATGGCGGACCGGGCGCGCGACCATTTTCTGCCACTGCAGTTTGGCGTAGCGGTAAAGGCCAGTGGAGAGGCAATGATTCACGAGGCCCGCGCGTTCGCCACCGAACGACCTAACTCGCTCCTGCTGCAGATCAACCTCACCAACGCCTTTAACAGTGTCGATCGCAGCGCCATAGTCACGGGCCTTTATAACTCCCCCCCCCACCCTCTCCTACCCTTCGTCCAGCTTTCGTACGGCGCCCCCTCCCTGCTGTACCTCGACGCCGGCTTCAATAGCCAGCCCCTGCTCAGCGCCCGGGGCGTCAGGCAAGGGGACCCCATGGGTCTGCTGCTCTTCGCCACTGCCATGCACCCTGCCCTGCAAGCGACCGCCGCGGCGTACCCCAGCGTCCTCTGCCTGGCGTACGCTGACGACATCACACTGCTGGGCGAGCCGGCAGCATGCACAGCGGCGTTCATGCATCTCACCGACGCTCTGAGCCCCCTAGGCCTCACGCACAACCCCTCCAAGTGCGCGGCCTGGTCCCAGTTCCAGCCCCCTGCCTCCGTCCTACCCCCTGACATCCCCTTCTGCAACTCTGGTCTGCGGGTCCAGGGCAGCCACATCGGCCCAAACGAGGCTGCGGCCCAGTTCCTGCGTGAGCAGCTGGCCAACATGGCCAAGCCGCTCCCCGCCCTCGCCACCATGGACCCCCAGTCCGCCTGCCTCCTCCTCCACCGCTGCGTCTCGCGGCGGGTATCCTACCTCACCCGCACAACCCCACTGAACCTGCTACCAGTGGAGGAATGGTCCACTTGGGGTCAGGAACTCTTCCTTACCCTCCTCCATTCCTGCAAACTCCAGCTACCGCGGGGAGAGCGGGAGCTTGCGCGCACCTGGGGCCAGGCGTCACTCCCACCCTCCCTGGGGGGCCTGGGCCTGGCGGACCCAGGAGTCGACGGACCACACGCCTTCCTGACCAGCGTGGCCCACGCTCACATGCTCCTGCTCTCCCTCCCCTCGGACCCCACCGGTCCCCTGGCGACTGCTGCATGCTCCCTCGCACCCCCCTTCACCAGCCCCACCCCACTCCACACCTGGCTGGCGGAATGTGAGGCCACGCTCCCGGCCCCTGCCCTGGAGCTCCTGCGAGCCGAGCGTTTGGAGCCCTCGGAAGAACCACTCCAGCACCAACTCGCCCTGGAAGTCCATGCAGCAGGGTTCGCTGCCCAGCTGGCTGCCACCAGGGAGATGGAACTCAACCCCAAGAGCGGCCATACACAACGGCTCCTCTCCCTCATCGGCTATGGCGCAGGTGACTGGCTCCTGGCCATCCCACTCTTCCCCTCCCTCCGCCTCACGCCCCCGCACTTCGCCATAGCCTTGGCATTCCGCCTGGGCCTCCCCTTCCCCGCACCTAAGGTGTGCAACTGCACCAAGCGGGTACAGATCCTGGACCCAAGACTCCCGAACCACCTGTTCCGCTGCGAGACCGGACACGGCCGCACTGACACCCACAACGCACTCAGGGACGAGTGCATCCGCATGGCGGGGGACGCCCAACTCATCGTCACCAAAGAGACGGCGATCTACAACCCGGTCGACGGCAAAACCACCAACCTAGCCATCCGGGATCGGGACTCGGGGACGGTGTGGATCTGCGAGTTCACTGTCACAGACCCGGTCAGCTCACGAGACCCGCTAGCCCGTAAGGGCCGTGGCTACATGGCTAGAGAGCAAGCCGACAAAAAGATAGATGACTACCGCAGCCGGGCGGAGTACGTCGGCTTCTTCCCGCTGGCGGTAGAGACTTACGGCTGCCCCTGCGCCGAGGTGCCCACCTTCCTCAAGCTCCTCGCACACACGGCTGCCCGCTGCCTCTTCAACGCCGACCCCAGCCGCGAAACAGCTCAGCCAGTTCCGTCAGCGCTGGTCCGTCACACTCCAACGGGGTCAGGCGCTCACGTACCTTGGGAAGGTGAACGAGGCCTCTCCTCTAGAGTGGCCCCCCTTAGGCGCTCCGGAGGCCGGCATGTCCCTTGGGGACTGTTTCGCCGTGATAGAGCCCCAGGGCGAGCGGCAGTAGGAGGGGATCGGTTAGGAGACTTACCTGAGCCAAGGCACCCGTTTGTACCAACCCTGCATGCCTAGCTTGTACCCAGGATTGCCCATCAACGACGGACCGTTCGAGAGAGAGAGAGAGAGAGAGAGAGAGAGAGAGAGAGAGAGAGAGAGAGAGAGAGAGAGAGAGAGAGAGAGAGAGAGAGAGAGAGAGAGAGAGAGAGAGGGAGAGAGAGAGAGAGAGAGAGAGAGAGAGAGAGAGAGAGAGAGAGAGAGAGAGAGAGGGAGAGAGAGAGTTGTGCATGTACAACTTATAAGGCTAATACCTAAGGACCGCTTGAGAGAGAGAGAGAGAGAAAGAGTGTGTGTGTGTGTGCACGCAGCCCGCTTCGCCAGCCAGCTGGCCGCATCGAGGGAGATGGAGCTCAGTCCCCTCAGCGGCCACAGCCAGAGACTCCTCTCCCTCACAGGGTACGGCGCCGGCGACAGGCTCCTTTTTAGTTTGGTTTCTTCTTTTCTCCTTCCCTTGGTGGCGGGAGAGAGAGGAGAGAGAGAGAGCGAGAGAGAGAGAGCCTATGTCCCTTAGTATTTAGAGCTCTCCGTCGCTCGCAACGCGGCCTGCGGCCGCGCGATAGGGGCCGGCAAATACATTGCACAAGAATCAACAACTAAAGGATACATCAACAACGGCACAAGGAGACCACAAGCCGGGACACCCGACACCTAACTCCAGACATGGAGAGCCTCATCCGCCGTACCGAGGCTCTAGCGCTGGTGAACTCGTCTCCCACGCGAACGTACGTCAGGAGGGGGCAGGTCACGCGAGCTGGTCCGCTCCCGCTTCTTCCAGCAGGGCCGTCACATAGCCCTCCAGGAGCTGGAGCGCTGACACGGCTCCGCCAACGATGTCTACAGCTGCAGCCGAATCTATGCTCGCCGACACTGCGCGCATCACGGCGAGGAGCTGGGGGTCCAACACTGTTCCCCGGGCGGGCGCAGGCTGCACTCGCGTCGACACGACGGCGAGATCCGCTGCAGCCATCGCGCAGCGATGGAGCGGATCATGGGGCATCCTGCACGGGCTCGCTAAGCCCCGTAGTACAGAGTGCGAGTCCGTCAGCATCCCCACTGCGATCCCCATCGCCCGCCGCGCGTGCCAGAGCCGACGAAGCGTGGCGACTGGGACCGCCATCTCCACGAGGCGCTCCCGCCCTCGCAGCCGCTCCACCTGCACCCTCGGCGGCATCCGCAGCCCGCCTGAGCGACGCTGCTCCGACCCCTCACACGGAAAGCCCTCATCTGAGGACTCCGCCCCCCCCGTCTCCGCTGCTTCTGCCCCCCCCTCGACTCCTGTCGGCGAGCCCATCGCCATACGGGGGGGAACAAAAGGCGCGGCAGCCCGCGCGCCGAAGGACGGTGGAGCCATCGGCTGTTGCTGGCCTTCGTACCAGCCTACCGCCGACGCCCCCACCGCTGGTGGCTGCCAGCTGGGCAGCGTCCCCATGGTTGGCACGGCCGTCGGTGCAGCCGGGGCGTTGGGCGCGAGGTGATGTGGGGGCAGCGGCTGGGCCTGGTACCAGGGGGCAGACGGCGGAGGCAGCTGACGATGCTCCTGACGGGGGGGCGGCTGTGGCGCCACGGACACAGGCGCCGGAGGCAGTTGAAACGGTACTTGCAGCGGCACAGAATACGGAGGAGGCACTATCGCGGGCGGAATCTGCGGCGGGGGACACACGCTCGGGGGCTGCGGCGGTGCTACCGAGCGGACCAGGTTCTCAAGGGTCGCAGCAGCGCGACCCAACCGCCTCTCCGCGGCCGAGCCTCGCCCGTTGCCCCCTCCGGCCCTCCACCCGCGGTGCTGTCCAGACTGCCCACGCTGCCCCTGTGGCGTCCGGCGCTGCTGGGCGGGAGCCGCTTGAGCCCCCCGCTGGGGTGTCCCTCGACGCGGCGGGACCAGCGGGAGCTGCTGCTGCGGAGGCTGCACTGCCCCCGACTGGTCTTGGCCCGCACGCTCAGAGGCCTTCCGCTCGTAACGTGCGGGGGACGAGCGGCGGCTGCCAGACAGACGCTCTGGGGTCTGCTGGCGGCTTGTTGCCGAGACGGGGACTCCGCGCTCCCAACCGTGGGCCGCGGGCGGTGGGGATCTCTCCCAATCTCGGTGGGGGACGCTCTCCCCCGTACTCTCCAAATCCAGGGACCGCTCGCGACGGAGACGCCCAGCTCCCACCACATTTCGGGGTGCCTCCATCGACGGCCCAGCCGCCTTCCTCGGCGTCGCCTGCGCGTCGGATTGGTCAGCGAGCGTCGGGCGGAGGGGCAACACGCAGTGGAAGCCGGGACCAACGAGGTCGGGTGCGCGGGCGCGGACGGACAGGGGTCTTGTCTCGGGATGGAGGCCCGCTGAACGACTTCCAGCAGGCTGCTAACCGGGCTTTAAGGGAGGAAGGGCAAAGGGAGGTAATTGGCGAGGAAGATAGACGAGATACTTCTTATGTACCGGCGAGGACCCAGGACTCATCAACGGAGGAGTCCAGTGCTGCCCTGGAGGAGAGGAATTTGTCACGCAGACGAGGCGGGAATCCGTCCCCATCGCTCAGATCCCGCGAACGAAGACCTGCGAACACACAGCCACCTAGCTCTCCCGCCCAGGCTGCCAGAGGGAGTGCGCGAAATACGCGTTCCTCCCGCGCCAGCGGTTCGCCAGATACCCAGACCCCTCGGCAGTTTTCGCCACAGGAGCTGTCGTCCAACGAATCCCTGTTCGCCGGGGTGGGGGGCTGGGACATCGACCTGCTCTGCGACAGTCGCCAGCCCCCGATTTCCCGCAGGATCCCCCCCAAATTTCGTCAACTCTTCGCCCTCGCACTCCTGACACCTCTGCTACACATCGCACACAACCCATCCAGCCTCGCCGGCTGGCGCCTGTTACTCTTCGTCCCTCGCCTAACCCTTCGCCTGCGCTCGCCCAAGCACCCCGATTGGGCCTCGGTGGAGAAACGACTGCAGCAGTTCCTCGCGGGCGACTGGCAGACGCTGTACTTGTCAGCAATCGATGCTGTGCATAACCCCCCCGCTCCCCGCCACGTGCCGGACTCCACTGGCAGGCAGAAGCGAGCAGAAGGGCTTGTCCGCCGTGGCAGTCTCCGACGTGCCCTGCTGGCACTGGACTCGACCCCGGTCAGCGCCTCAACCCCCGACGTCGTCGAGGCGTTGAAATCCAAGCACCCCGCCTCGTTGACCGAGTCAATTGACTGGCCCACCCTCGATGAATCGGAGGCTGGCCCCTCCTTCTCGCAGGAGGCGTTCATTCGCTTGCTGAGTCGTTGCGAAAATGGAGTGGGCGCGGGACCTTCAGGAATGTGCTTCGAGCACATTCGCGACGCTGCCCTCGCTAATAATTCCGTCGCTAGCAGGCTACACGAGCTCGCACTACGCCTGCTCAAAGGAGATTCTACCGCGGAAATAGCCGCCCTACTCACTGCTAGCCGCCTCATGGCTTTTCCCAAGCCTGGAGGCGGTACGCGACCTATCGCCATCGGCGAATGCCTGCACCGCCTTGTGGCGAAGGTGGGCCTCCTCACCATGACATCGCAGGCGCAGTCCCATTTCCTCCCGCTGCAGTTTGGGGTAGCAGTCCGCGCGGGCAGCGAGGCGATCATCCATGGCGCCCGCGCCTACACATCTGAATTCCCGACCGCCCTCGTACTCCAGGTCGACGTATCGAACGCTTTCAACAGCGTCGACCGGGCCGCAATTGTGGCGGGGCTCTACAACTCGCCCCTCCGGCCACTTCTCCCCTTCGTCAAACTCTCCTACGGAGCCCCCTCCCGCCTCTTCTTAGACGCGGGATTCGGCAACGAACCCCTCCTCAGTGCCCGGGGCGTCCGCCAAGGGGACCCTATGGGCCCCCTGCTCTTCGCAGCGGCTTTACACCCCGCACTCCAGGCGACAGCATCCGCGTTCCCCACTGTGCTCTGCCTCGCATACGCCGACGATATCACACTCCTTGGAGAGCCGGCGGCGTGTGCGTCAGCATTCACGCATCTCACGGAGGCCCTTCGCCCCTTGGGCCTCGTGCACAACCCTTCAAAGTGCGCGGCGTGGTCCGCTTTCGAGCCCCCCAGCCCAGTCCTCCCCCCGGGCATTCCCTTCCGCGCCGACGGCCTTCGCGTCCTCGGCAGCCACCTCGGCCCTCCTGCAGCCACAGCCGCTTTCCTTCGGGAGCAGCTGGCTGACATGGCCAGACCGCTCCCTGACCTGGCGACCATGGATCCCCAGGCCACAGGCCTCCTCCTCCACCGCTGCGTCTCACGACGCGTATCCTATCTCACCCGCACCACCCCCCTTGACCCGCTGCCGACCGAGGAATGGTCCAACTGGGGCCAGGAGCTCTTCCACACCCTCCTCCTCTCGTGCAACCTCCAGCTCCCACGGGGCGACCTGGAGCGGTCGCGCACGTGGCAACAGGCTTCTCTGCCCCCCACTCTCGGCGGCCTCGGCCTCGCAGATCCCGCAGTGGAGGGTCCACACGCCTTCCTCACCAGCGTCACACAGGCCCACCGGTTGCTCATTTCCCTGCCTTCAGATCCGACAGGCCCCCTCGCCGCAGCAGCATGCTCCCTGGCCCCTCCCTTCGATGGCCCCTCGCGTCTCCATGCCTGGCTGGCGAAATGTGAGTCGGCCCTCCCAGCCCCAGCCCTAGCGCTTCTGCAGGCCGAGCGGGCTGACCCCTCGGACGATCCTCTTCAGCATCGACTGGCCCTGGAGGTGCACGCAGCCCGCTTCGCCAATCAATTAGCTGCGTCACGGGTGATGGACCCCAACCCCCTTAGCGGCCACACCCAACGGCTCCTCTCCCTCACTGGGTCTGGCGCCGGGGACTGGCTCCTCGCCATCCCCCTATTCCCTTCTCTTCGGCTGGCGCCGCCACACTATGCCTTCGCCTTGGCGTTCCGCATGGGCCTCCCTGTCCCGGCACCCAGGGCCTGCAACTGTGCGCAACAGGTCGCGATCATCGACCCACGCCTACCAAACCACCTCCTCCGCTGTGGGACAGGACACGGTCGCACCGACACACACAACGCCCTCCGGGACGAGTGCGTCCGCATGGGGCGAGACGCACAACTCATTGTCACGAAAGAAACGGCGATGTACAACCCCGTCGACGGCAAGACCGCCGACCTGGCCATCCGCGACCGGGACTCGGGGGCGGTCTGGATCTGTGATGTCACCGTCACCGACCCAATTAGCTCCCGGGACCCGCTAGCACGCAAAGGCCGCGGTTACATGGCCCGAGAACAAGCGGACAAGAAGATCAACGAGTACTGCCACCGGGCAGCATATGTCGGCTTTTTCCCTCTCGCGGTCGAAACGTACGGCTGCCCATGCGCCGAAGTGCCTACCTTCCTTAAACTCCTCGCACACACAGCAGCCCGCCGCCTCTTCAATGCCGACCCCAGCTCCTACCAGGCGGCTAAACTGCTCAGCCAGTTCCGCCAGCGATGGTCTGTCGCCCTCCAGCGGGGTCAAGCCCTCACCTACCTCGGGAAGGTAAACGAAGCTTCGCCACTTGAGGGGCTGCCTCTGGGTGCCCCTGAGGCAGGCATGTCCCTTGGGGACTGCTTTGCGGTCATTGAGCACCCAAGCGAATGGCCGGGGACTCGGAGCTCGAACTTGAACATCATGCATGCCTGTACCCACCTTATATGCCTACCCTGTACCTAGGATCCCCCAGTAATGAAGGACCGTTAGAGAGAGAGAGAGGGAGAGAGAGAGAGAGAGAGAGAGAGAGAGAGAGAGAGAGAGAGAGAGAGAGAGAGAGAGAGAGAGGGAGAGAGAGAGTTGTGCATGTACAACTTATAAGGCTAATACCTAAGGACCGCTTGAGAGAGAGAGAGAGAGAAAGAGTGTGTGTGTGTGTGCACGCAGCCCGCTTCGCCAGCCAGCTGGCCGCATCGAGGGAGATGGAGCTCAGTCCCCTCAGCGGCCACAGCCAGAGACTCCTCTCCCTCACAGGGTACGGCGCCGGCGACAGGCTCCTTGCCACCCCCCTATTTTCCTCGCTCCGGCTGGCGCCCCCACGCTATGCCATAGCCCTGGCATTCCATATGGGCCTCCCCTTCCCTGCACCCAAAGTCTGCAACTGCGCCAAGCGGGTGACGATCGAAGACCCACGACTCCCAAACCACCTCTTCCGCTGTGGGATAGGGCACGGCCGTACCGACACCCACAATGCCCTCCGTGACGAATGCATTCGCATGGGGCGGGATGCGCAGCTCATAGTCACAAAGGAGACTGCGATTTACAACCCCGTTGACGGCAAGACCGCCGACTTGGCCGTGCTCGACCGGGACTCGGGGGCGGTTTGGATCTGTGACGTCACCGTCACCGACCCAGAAAGCTCCCGAGACCCGCTGGCCCGCAAGGGCTGGGGTTATATGGCCCGGGAGCAAGCCGACAAAAAGATCAACGACTACCGCCATAGGGTGGCATACGTCGGATTCTTCCCACTCGCGGTCGAGACGTACGGCTGCCCATGCGCCGAAGTGCCAACCTTCCTCAAACTCTTGGCACACATGGCCGCCCGCCGCCATTTCAACGCCGACCCCAGTTCCTACCAGGCGGCAAAACTGCTAAGCCAGTTCGGCCAGCACTGGTCCATCACCCTCCAGCGAGGACAAGCCCTCACCTACCTCGGGAAGGTGAATGAGGCTTCGCCGCTTGAGTGGCCACCCCTAGATGCGCCTGAGGCAGGCATGTCCCTAGGGGACTGCTTTGCAGTCATTGAGCACCCTAGGGAACAGCCGTAGACTAGGAGCTCGGCCAGGTATATCATACATGCTTGTACCCACCTTATAAGCTTCGCCTGCACCCAGGGTCTCCCAGCAATGAAGGACCATACGAGAGAGAGAGAGAGAGAGAGAGAGAGAGAGAGAGAGAGAGAGAGAGAGAGAGAGAGAGAGAGAGAGAGAGAGAGAGAGAGAGAGAGAGAGAGAGAGAGGGAGAGAGACGACGCAATACACGATCCGCCCCCTCCACGTCACCGACCGGACGACCTCGGCAAAATATCTCGTGCGGAGGGACTAGTCCGCCGGGGAAGTTTGCGACGGGCGCTGCTCGCCCTGGAGTCCACCCCAGTCAGCGAGTCAACACCAGAAGTCTTACATGCGTTGAAGTCAAAGCACCCGCCACCGCTGACCCATGACATTGCGTGGCCCCGCGTCGACGACACGGAGCCGCCCCCATCCATCACTGTCGCTGATTTCACAAAACTACTCAGTCGATGCGAGAACGGGGTTGGGGCAGGCCCCTCCGGAATGTGTTTCGAGCACATCCGAGATGCCGCACTAGCCAACGGCGCCATCCTCAACAAACTCCACGAGTTGGTCCTGGGCTTGCTCAAAGGAGAGCCACGGGCGGCGGCGGTTGCGCCCCTTACAGCTAGCCGTCTCCTCGCCCTCACCAAGCCGGATGGCGGCACCAGGCCGATCGCAGTGGGGGCCGCATCGCGGGCAAGGCGTGCCTCACATCAACGGCGGACAGGGCCCAAGCCACTTTTCTCCCCCTGCAATTCGGCGTGGCAGTACGCGGAGGCGGTGAGGCGATAATCCACGCCACCCGAGCCTTTGCCAATGAGTGCCCGTCCGCACTCATTATCCAAATCGACCTGACCAACGCTTTCAACAGCGTTGATCGCGGGGCGATCGTAACCGGCCTCTACAATTCACCGTTGCGGCACCTCCTTCTTTACGTCGAGCTCTCTTACGGAGCTACCTCGCTACTCTACCTCGACGCGGGCTTCAACGCTCCCCCACTCCAGAGCGAACGAGGCGTGAGGCAGGGGGACCCCATGGGACCCCTCCTATTTGCAGCCGCCATGCATCCCGCCCTCAAAGCCACATCCATTGCCTACCCCGACGTCCTGTGTCTGGCCTACGCTGACGACGTCACGCTGATGGGCGAGCCGTCAGCATGCGCCGCCGCCTTCGCCCACTTCACCGCGGCCCTGGGACCGCTTGGTCTAACCCACAACCCCACCAAATGTGGAGCATGGACGCCCACCCCAGCCGCCGTCGACCACATCCCCCCTGGCATCCCCTTCTGCCCCGAAGGTCTACGAGTGCTGGGCAGCCACGTCGGGCCCACGGAGGGCGCCAGCCGCTTCCTCCGCGAACACTTGGCCGACATGGCCCGCCCTCTCGCCACGCTGGCCACCATGGACCCACAGACGACATCCCTCCTACTTACCCGCTGCGTCTCGAGGCGGGTGGCATACCTCACCCGCACGACGCCACTGAACCTCCTGCCCCAAGAAGAGTGGTCCGTCTGGGGGCAGGAGCTGTTTCACACGCTTCTCCAAGCCTGCAACCTCCAGCTACCACGCGGCGAGGCGGAGCAGGCGCGGACCTGGGCCCAGGCTTCCCTCCCTCCCTCCCTGGGAGGCCTCGGGTTAGCGGACCCCACTGTGGAGGGGCCCCACTCCTTCCTCACGAGCGTAGCCCGGGCACAGGCCCTCCTGGCCTCCCTGCCGTCCGCCCAATCAGGCCCCTTCGCACAGGTCGCACCGTCCCTTGCACCCCCGTTCTCCAGCCCCACCCCCCTCCATACATGGTTGGCGGAATGCGAGGCGACTCTCCCGACACCGGCCCTGGACCTGCTACAGTCCGAGCGGCTGGAGCCATCAGACGCTCCCCTCCAACACCTCCTGGCCCTGGAAGTCCAAGGCTACAGATTTGCCAAACAGCTGGCTGCCACGCGACGGATGGAGCTGAACCCGCTAAGCGGGCATACCCAGCGGATGCTCTCGCTCACTGGATATGGGGCAGGGGATTGGCTTCATGCCATCCCCATCCTCCCCTCACTGCGGATGGCCCCACCCCACTTTGCCATAGCACTGGCCTTCCGGCTAGGACTGCCCTTCCCCGCGCCCAAGATCTGCAATTGCCTCAAGCGGGTGAAGATCCTGGATCCACGTCTCCCTAACCACTTGTTCCGCTGCGGAACCGGCCATGGCAGAACCGACACCCACAACGCCCTTCGAGACGAGTGCATCCGGATGGCCCGAGATGCGCAACTCATCGTCACGAAGGAGACGGCCATGTACAACCCAGTGGATGGTAAGACGGCTGACCTCGCCATCCGAGATAGGGACTCCGGCGCAGTGTGGATCTGCGACGTCACAGTCACAGACCCCATCAGCAAACGCGACCCCGACGCACGCAAGGGCAGGGGGTATATGGCCAGGGAGCAAGCTGCCAAGAAGGCGGACCACTACTCCAGCAGGGCCGAGTACGTGGGCCTATTCCCCCTGGCGGTGGAAACATACGGCTGCCCGTGTGACGAAGTACCCACCTTCCTGAAGCTGCTGGCGCACACGGGAGCACGACGACTCTTCAACGCGGACCCCAGCTCCTACCAAGCGGGGAAACTGCTCAGCCAGTTCCGCCAACGCTGGTCTATTACGCTCCAGAGGGGGCAGGCCCTGTCTTACCTTGGAAAGGTGAATGAGGCCTCGCCGGCAGATTGCCCCCCCCTAGGAAACCCGAACGTGGACATGTCCCTCGGGGATTGTTTCGCCATCCTTGAACCCCAAGAAGGATTCCAGTAGGCATAGGACTCACAAGCCAAGTCTCCCATTGGGACATGTCTCTATACCTTGCTCCCCTTGCCTAGCCTGTACCCAGGGTTCAGCAATACTAAGGACCGCTTGAGAGAGAGAGAGAGAGAGAGAGAGAGAGAGAGAGAGAGAGAGAGAGAGAGAGAGAGAGAGAGACAACGGCAGACGGGGCGGAATCAAAGGGAACAGCGGGCACCGCGTATGCGAAATTATCGGGACAACGAGGTACAACCCAACCTCCCTCCCCGCCAATTCTCGCCAGAAGACCTGGCGAATAATGAACCCCTTTTCACGGGGATCGCAAATTGGGACATCGGACGGCTTTGCGACAGTCGCCAGCCCCCACTTTCCCGTCGAATCCCCCCCAAACTACGCCAGCTTTTCGCCCTGGCGCTCCTGACACCTTTGCTCCACATCGCAAAAAACCCTTCTAGCCTCGCGGGCTGGCGCCTGTTACTCTTCACACCCCGACTCACCCTTCGCCTCAATTCGCCGCGCCACCCAGATTGGCCAGCGATAGAGCGGAGGCTGCAGCAGTTCCTGGCCGGCGAATGGGAATCGCTGTACCTGGCAGCAGCTGACGCGATACACAACCCACCTGTACCACGACACTCAGGAGACACCCTTGGCAAAATATCCCGCGCCGAGGGCCTCGTCCGTCGTGGCAGCCTTCGGCGTGCCCTCCTGGCACTGGACTCGACCCCGGTCAGCGAGTCAACGCCGGAGGTCCTCGCCGCACTGACCTCCAAACACCCCCCCCCTCTGACTGAGTCCCTTGACTGGCCTGCCCTCGACGAGTCTGAGCGACTCCCCTCCATCTCGCTGGCCGATTTCGTTCGGTTACTTAGCCGCAGCGAAAACGGAGTTGGCGCGGGACCGTCGGGCATGTGCTTCGAACACCTTCGCGACGCAGCCCTCGCGAACGCCTCAGTCGCCAGCAAACTGCACGGGGTAGCACAAATCCTCCTAAAAGGATCCACCACTCCAGAGGTAGCCGGGCTCCTCACAGCTAGCCGCCTGCTAGCGTTCCCGAAGCCAGAGGGGGGCACCCGCCCAATAGCAGTGGGCGAATGCCTCCACCGCCTAGTGGCGAAAGCAGGCCTCGCCGCCATGAACGAGCCCGCCCAAAGCCACTTCCTCCCACTGCAGTTCGGGGTAGCGGTAAGGGCCGGCGGCGAGGCGATAATCCATGGCGCGAGAGCTTTCGCCACGGAATCCCCATCTGCCCTCCTGCTCCAACTTGACCTTTCTAACGCTTTCAACAGCGTCGACCGCGGGGCCATCATCACAGGGCTCTATAACTCCCCGCTCCGCCCCCTCCTCCCCTTCGTACAACTCTCCTACGGCGCCCCCTCCACTCTTTTCTTGGACGCGGGCTTTGACAGCCAGCCCCTCCTCAGCGCCCGCGGCGTCAGGCAAGGGGACCCCATGGGACCTCTGCTCTTTGCCGCCGCCATGCATCCCGCCCTGCGAGAGACCGCCCAAGCGTTTCCCCGCGTCCTCTGCCTGGCATACGCCGACGACATCACCTTGATGGGGGAGCCAGCCGCATGCACAGCCGCATTCGCCCACCTCACCCACGCGCTCCTTCCTCTCGGCCTGACCCACAACCCGGCTAAGTGCGCAGCATGGTCAGCGGCCCATCCCCCCCCCGACTCCCTCCCCCCCGGGATCCCCTTCTGTGCCTCCGGGTTGCGGATCCTAGGCAGCCATATCGGTCCCCCAGATGCAGCAGCCAGCTTCCTGCGTGAGCAACTGGCCGCAATGGCCAAGCCACTGCCAACCCTGGCAGCCATGGACCCCCAGGCCGCCAGCCTCCTCCTCCACCGCTGCGTCTCTCGTCGGGTCTCCTACCTGACCCGCACGACGCCGCTGAACCTGCTCCCAGCACAGGAGTGGTCCCAGTGGGGGCAGCAACTCTACCTCACCCTCCTGCGGGCCTGCCATCTCCAGCTCCCACGGGGGGAACAGGAGATGTCGCGCACGTGGCAACAGGCCTCGCTCCCCCCCTCCCTCGGAGGGCTCGGCTTGACGGACCCCACAGTGGAGGGACCCCATGCCCTCCTCACCAGCGTCACCCACGCCCAACGGCTCCTGGCCTCCCTCGCCCCAGACCCATCCGCCCCCCTCGGGACAGTGGCCCGCTCCCTCGCACCACCCTACACCAGCCCCACCCCCCTTCACACCTGGCTAGCTGAGTGCGAGGCGGCGCTGCCAGCCACCGCCCGGGAAATCCTGCGCGCCGAGCCCTCGGAACCACCCGAAGCTCCGCTCCAGCACCGCCTCGCCCTAGAGGTCCACGCTGCCCGGTTCGCCGAGCAGCTAGAATCGACCAGGCACATGGAGCTAAACCCCCTCAGCGGTCACACGCAGCGGCTCCTCTCCCTCACAGGGTACGGAGCAGGGGACTGGCTCCTCGCAGTCCCCCTCTTCCCATCACTCAGGCTGGCTCCTCCCCACTTCGCCATAGCCCTCGCCTTCCGCCTGGGCCTCCCTTTCCCCGCGCCAAAAGTGTGCAATTGTGCCAAGAAGACCGAGATCCCGGACCCACGGCTCCCCAACCACTTATTCCGCTGCGGGACGGGGCACGGACGCACTGATACACACAACGCCCTCCGGGACGAATGCATTCGCATGGGCCAAGATGCACAACTCATTGTCTCGAAAGAAACAGCCCTATACAACCCGGTCGACGGCAAGACAGCCGACCTAGCCATCCGGGACCGGGACTCAGGGGCGGTCTGGATCTGCGACGTCACAGTCACGGACCCAGTCAGCTCCAGGGACCCCCTCGCCCGCAAGGGACGCGGTTACATGGCCAGGGAGCAGGCGGACAAGAAGATCGACATGTACCGCCACAGGGCAGAATACGTCGGCTTCTTCCCGCTTGCTGTCGAGACATACGGCTGCCCTTGCACGGAAGTGCCGGTCTTCCTCAAACTTTTAGCCCACACGGCTGCCCGGCGCCTCTTCAACGCCGACCCCAGCTCTTACCAGGCGGCGAAACTACTCAACCAGTTTCGCCAGCGCTGGTCAGTCACCCTCCAACGGGGACAGGCTCTAACCTACCTGGGGAAGGTGAACGAAGTGTCACCGCTGGAGTGGCCCCCCTTGGGGGGACCCGATGCGGGCATGTCCCTCGGGGACTGCTTCGCCGTGCTAGAGCATTAGGGGAGGGAGGGGGGGTGGTAGGACCGGGTACTAAACCTCCCCACCGGTAGTATTTACCCGTGCCTGCTCCACTTGCCTAGCTTGTACCCAGGATTCCCCAGCAACAAAGGACCATTCGAGAGAGAGAGAGAGAGGGAGAGAGAGAGAGAGAGAGAGAGAGAGAGAGAGAGAGAGAGAGAGCATGAGTCCCTCCCTAGCTATTTAAGCTCTCTCCCTAGCTCATTCTTCCAGTTTAGTTTCCAGTTCTTTCTTTCTTTTCTCCAACCCTTGGTGGCGGGAGAGAGGAGAGAGAGAGCGAGAGAGAGAGAGAGAGAGCATGAGTCCCTCCCTAGCTATTTAAGCTCTCTCCCTAGCTCATTCTTCCAGTTTAGTTTCCAGTTCTTTCTTTCTTTTCTCCAACCCTTGGTGGCGGGAGAGAGGAGAGAGAGAGCGAGAGAGAGAGAGAGAGAGCATGAGTCCCTCCCTAGCTATTTAAGCTCTCTCCCTAGCTCATTCTTCCAGTTTAGTTTCCAGTTCTTTCTTTCTTTTCTCCAACCCTTGGTGGCGGGAGAGAGGAGAGAGAGAGCGAGAGAGAGAGAGAGAGAGCATGAGTCCCTCCCTAGCTATTTAAGCTCTCTCCCTAGCTCATTCTTCCAGTTTAGTTTCCAGTTCTTTCTTTCTTTTCTCCAACCCTTGGTGGCGGGAGAGAGGAGAGAGAGAGCGAGAGAGAGAGAGAGAGAGCATGAGTCCCTCCCTAGCTATTTAAGCTCTCTCCCTAGCTCATTCTTCCAGTTTAGTTTCCAGTTCTTTCTTTCTTTTCTCCAACCCTTGGTGGCGGGAGAGAGGAGAGAGAGAGCGAGAGAGAGAGAGAGAGAGCATGAGTCCCTCCCTAGCTATTTAAGCTCTCTCCCTAGCTCATTCTTCCAGTTTAGTTTCCAGTTCTTTCTTTCTTTTCTCCAACCCTTGGTGGCGGGAGAGAGGAGAGAGAGAGCGAGAGAGAGAGAGAGAGAGCATGAGTCCCTCCCTAGCTATTTAAGCTCTCTCCCTAGCTCATTCTTCCAGTTTAGTTTCCAGTTCTTTCTTTCTTTTCTCCAACCCTTGGTGGCGGGAGAGAGGAGAGAGAGAGCGAGAGAGAGAGAGAGAGAGAGCATGAGTCCCTCCCTAGCTATTTAAGCTCTCTCCCTAGCTCATTCTTCCAGTTTAGTTTCCAGTTCTTTCTTTCTTTTCTCCAACCCTTGGTGGCGGGAGAGAGGAGAGAGAGAGCGAGAGAGAGAGAGAGAGAGCATGAGTCCCTCCCTAGCTATTTAAGCTCTCTCCCTAGCTCATTCTTCCAGTTTAGTTTCCAGTTCTTTCTTTCTTTTCTCCAACCCTTGGTGGCGGCTCGCGTCGGCGGCCTTCGGCCGCCGACGCTCGCAGCGCGGCCTTCGGCCGCGCGTGAGGGGCGGCAAGGACACAAGGCTTCGGAGTCAACTACGACAACATCAAATACACACATCCGGGGTCTACAACCCGCCAACACTACACACGGCAAACAAGCATGGAGAGCCTGACAGAGCTTACCAGAGCGCTCACGCTAGAGCGCACTTCACCAACCAGAACCTACACACGACGGCAGCCCATCATGCGGCTTCGTCCGCTCCAGCCTCCTCAAGCAGGGCCCTCACATAGTCCCCCAGGAGCATCAGCGCTGACACGGCACCGCCAACGATGTCTACAGCTGCAGCCGAGTCTACGCTCGCCGATACTGTCCGCATCACGGCGAGCAGGCGCGGGTCCAACACGGTTCCCGAGGCGGGCGCAGGCTGCACTCGCGTGGACACGACCGCCAGATCCGCTGCAGCCATCGCGCAGCGATGGAGCGGATCGTGAGGCATCTTGCACGGGCTCACTGAGCTCCGTAGAACGGAGTGTGAGTCCGTCAGCATCTCCACAGCATACCCCATCGCCCTCTGCGCGTGCCAGAGCCGACGAAGCGTGGCGACTGGGATCGCAGTCTCCGCCAGCCGCCCCCTCCCCCGCAGGCGCTCCAGCTGCGCCCTCTGCGGCATCCGCAGCCCACCCGAGCGACGCCACCCCTGGTCCCCAGGAGGCGAGTCCTCGCCCGTGGATTCCGCTCCCCCCATCTCCGCTGCTTCTGCCCCCCCCTCAACTCCAGTCGGTGACGCCAGCGAACGGCGGGGGGGGACAAAGGGCGCTGTCGCCCGCCCGCCGAACGATACTGGTGCCTCCAACGGCGGTGGGCCACGGGACCATCCTACCACCGACACATCCGGGGGCGTCGGCTGCCAGGGCTGCAGTGTCTCCGCGGACCGCACGTCCAACCGACGCGGATCGAAGGGACCGGCCGAGGGAAGGACCGGCGGAGGTGGTGCGGAGGGAAGGGACGCCAAGAGGTGCGGGCTGTCGAGGAGCGGGAGCGCTGCCACACTGCGGGGAGGGAACGCCGGCGCCGGCGCCTGAGGAAGGGGTAACCGCACGGGCTGCGAGTGCGCCGGCTGGTACTGCTGGGACGCCAAAAGCTGCGGAGAATACGCCAGAGCCTGCTGGGGTTGGGCGACACTGCGGAACAAGCCCTCGAGAGTCGCCGCGGCCCGCCCTAGGCGCCTCTCCGCTACGGACCCACGGTTACTCCCCCCGCCAGCCCTCCAGCCGACGCGCTGACCCGCACGCCCGCGCGGCGCCTGCGGAGTCCGGCGCTGCTGCCCCGGCCCCGCCTGGGGGCGGCGCTGAGGCGTCCCTCGGCGAGAGGGACGCTGCTGGCGCGGCGACTGATGCTCCTCGCCACGCGCCACTGGTTCACGTCCAATATCCAAGGCGCGCTCAGGGGACTTCTCCTCGTGTCTCTGGGGCGCGGCAGTCCTGCCCCGCGACTGCCCCCGCATCCGCTCGGGAGTCTGATGGCGAGCCGTCGAGGGGACGAGGAGCCCGCGCTCCCAATCTCGGTTCGACGGTGCTGGAGGACTCGCCCGACCTCGGGGGGACTCGCTGTCCCCAGTACTCTCCAAATCGGCAGAACGCTCCCGCGCTGGTCGCTCCATCCCGAGGAGGCGCGCCGCACTCGGCACCCCCCACGACTCGGCACAAAAGCCGAACGACGACCAGGGCCGCCCCGAGGGGAAACCACGGAGGCGGACGCGGAAGCCTCAATACACGGACGGCCGGAGGGCGCGGTCGCGGGGCTGCAAGGCGTGGCAATCTGTCCTCCGACGGAGGACCGCTGAACGGATTCCAGCAGGCAGCGAACAGGGCTTTAAGTGCCTCGGAACTGCAACGAACAACTGATGAAGAGGAACGGGCAGACGGAACTTATATACCAGGGGACCAGGGAGACCCCACGCCTGAGACCTCCAGTGAGGAGGAAAACGTCGAAACAAACAGGCGCGCTGGAGGACGAGAGACTGACCCAACTCCCAGATCTAGGGGACGAGGGTCCAGCCGCATGCACAATACTCGGGCACCGCTGGACACCCATCCCCAGGCAGTCCCGCAGTTGTCCCCGGAAGAACTGGCGAATGACCCCTCCCGATTCGCCGTCATCGCCACTTGGGACGTCGCAGCCCTCTGCGACAGTCGCCAACCCCCTCTCTCCCGCCGGTTACCCCCCCAAATCCGTCAACTTTTCGCGCTCGCCCTTCTGACACCCCTCCTTTTCCTCGCCAAACATCCAACCTCCATTGAGGGTTGGATCCTGTTACTTTACCTCCCGCGCCTCACACTTCGCCTACCCTCACCACGACGCCCTGACTGGCCCGCGACGGAAAGACGACTTCGACAATTTCTCGCGGGCCATTGGGACACACTGTATCAAGCAACTGCCTCTGCTGTCACCATGCCACCCCCTCCCCGCCACGTACCTGACACTCTTGGGAAAATATCCCGCGCCGAGGGCTTGGTACGCCGAGGCAGTTTGCGACGGGCTCTGCTCGCGTTGACTTCGACCCCAGTCAGCAAGTCCACCCCCACGGTGCTGGACGCGCTGAAGTCAAAACACCCCCCTCCGCTTGTCGAAAACCTCACCTGGCCACGGCTTGACGAAAACTGCAGGCCGCCGACAGTCGATTTCGCTACGTTCGCGAAGCTCCTCTCTCGCTCCGAAAATGGAGTTGGGGCAGGCCCCTCGGGGATGACCTTCGAGCACCTTCGCGACGCCTCGCTGTCCAACCCCACCGTCGCCACAAACCTCCACAAGCTCGTCCAGCGGCTACTGGCGGGTAACCTGCCGCACGAAGTCAGCCAGCTCGTTACCTCCTCCCGCCTCCTGGCCCTTACCAAGCCAGATGGGGGTACCCGCCCCATCGCAATAGGAGAGTGTCTCCTTCGGCTAGCGGCAAAAGCCGCGCTAATCTCCTCCACGCAATCCGCGCAAGACTACTTCCTACCACACCAATACGGGGTAGCCATCAGGAGCGGCGGAGAAACCATTATCCATGCCACCAGGGGTTTTACCTCAGCGCGCCCGGGCTCACTCATCCTACAAGTCGACCTTTCAAACGCCTTTAATAGCGTTGACCGTACGGCCATCATCCACGCCATTAACACCTCGCCCCTGCGCCCGCTCCTCCCCTTCATTCAATTCTCCTACGGAGCACCGTCGCTGCTCTACCTCGACGCCGAGTTCGACAGCCCACCCCTACTCAGTGCGCGGGGAGTTCGCCAAGGGGACCCCATGGGCCCCCTCCTCTTCGCAGCCGCCATCCACCCAGCGCTCCGAACAACTGCCGCGGCCCACCCCGAGGTCCTCTGCCTCGCGTACGCCGACGACATCACCTTCGTCGGCGATCCGGACGCCTGCACCTCGGCGTTCCTCAACTTCACAGCGGCCATGGACCGCATCGGTCTCTCCCACAACCCCGCGAAATGCGCGGCGTGGTCAGCCGAACGCCCTGCACCTGACCACCTTCCCCCAGGCATACCTTTCAACACAGAAGGCGTCCGCGTACTTGGCAGCTTTATAGGCACAGCCGAGGGCACAGCTGCATTCCTCCGCACCCAGCTGTCCCTGCTAGCCGAACCCCTCGCCACACTGGCCACAATGGACCCCCAGTCCTCATCCCTCCTCCTCACACGCTGCGTTTCTCGGCGTGTCTCATACTTAATCCGCACCACCCCCCTTGACTTCCTTCCCCTGGACGTCTGGTCCGACTGGGGTAGGGAGCTCTTCCATACCCTCCTGCGTGCCTGCAACCTCCAACCACCCCGAGGCGAGGTGGAGCGGGTGCGCACTTGGGCTCAAGCGTCCCTCCCTCCCTCTCTTGGAGGACTGGGTCTAACCGACCCCGCCATTGAGGGACACCCAGCCTACCTCACCAGCCTCACCCAAGCCCAGGGCCTCTTGGCTGCCCTACCAGCAGCGTCAGGAGGGCCCCTGGCCGACGCTGTCCGTCACCTCACGCCACCTTTCACCAGCCCCACCCACTTGCATACCTGGCTGGCGAAGTGTGAAACGGCGATGCCCCCACGAGCCCGGGAGCTCCTGCACTCCGAGAGGAGGGAACCCTCCGGCTCCCCACTCCAACACCGCTTATCCCTCGAAGTCCAGGCGGTGCGATACGCCGGCCAGGTGGCAGCCACGCGGACAATGGACCCAAACCCACTCTCCGGGCACCTATGTTGGAAAATACGCGTACTGCGTTTTATACGCTAGCGTATATACGCTTGCGTATATACGCTATACGCTTGGATTTGGGGTCCAATACGGCAGGAATACGCATGCCCGGGCAGGAAAAAAGGTTTGCCCGGGCAGGGTAACAAAACCAGGGGGCAGCAAGGAAGCCATGATGGTAGCGGCTAGGCTAGGGTTTCTGAAAACGTGACTCTCAAATGAGAGGCATTTTCTGAGGGGTCGAATTTTGACCTGCCAATTCCCTCCCTTTCACCGCACTCAACCCCCCCGTCTACAAAGTCAAATTGGCTTCCAGCCAACCAACTCCCTCCCTTTCACCGCACTGAACTCCCACCCATCTACAAACTCCAACCTTTCCTCACAAATGCTCGACTCTCCCCCCCATCATCTCCCCCATCACTTTGGTAGAAGACTAACAAGCACCGTAACTCGCGCAATCGCCGCCACCTAGCTAAGCACACCACCGTTTCGCTTCAGAGCTGAGATTTGGACGGAAATGGGGAACGGCAAACACGGGATGGCTTTCAATCACGTACAGAGCAGGCTGGGCTATGGGCAAAAAAGAATGGGCGAAAAAACCGCGACGTCGCGAAGTCGCGGAAAAAAAAAATATAAGTTTTTTTTTTCGCCGGGCAGCCCGGGTATCGCGTATCGCGTATTCCAAGCGTATCAGCGTATTGCGTATATTCGCAAGCGTATATACGCAATACGCAAAGCCTTCTGTGCGTATATTCCAACATAGCCGGGCACACCCAACGCCTCTTTTCCCTTGCTGGATATGGAGCAGGGGACTGGCTTCATGCCATCCCCATCTTCCCATCCCTCCGCCTCGAAGCTCCACACTTCGCCATTGCCCTGGCCTTCCGCCTCGGCCTTCCATTCCCAGCCCCCCGCACTTGCAACTGCGCCGAGGAATTCGAAATCCTCGACACCAGGCTGCCCAACCACCTGCTCCGGTGTGGCACCGGGCACGGACGGACTGACACCCATAATGCCCTGCGGGACGAGAGCATACGGATGGCCCGAGATGCTGACTTTATAGTCACCAAGGAGACCACCATCTACAGCCCCGTAGACGGCCACAAGGCCGACCTCGCCCTCCGAGACCGCAGTTCCGGAGCTGTCTGGATCTGTGACGTCACTGTCACAGATCCCATCAGCAGCCGGGACCCGGACGCAAGAAAAGGACGCGGATACATGGCCCGGGAACAAGCTGACAAGAAAATCTCCCATTACCGAAATCGGGCTCCCTATGTCGGATTTTTCCCACTGGCAGTCGAGACATACGGCTGCCCCTGCGCCGAGGTCCCTACCTTCTTGAAGCTGCTGGCTGACACAGGGGCCAGGAGACTTTTCAATGCAGACCCCAGCTCCTACCAGGCAGCGAAACTGCTCCACCAGTTTCGCCAGCGCTGGTCAGTGACGCTGCAGCGGGCACAGGCCTTGGCTTACCTGGGGAAAGTTAATGAAGCCTCCCCGGCCCCCCACACCCCAGTGGGCACCCCTGACGCCGACATGGCACCTGGGGACTGCTTTGCCATAGCAGAGCCCCTAGGGGAGCTCGAGTAGTTTCGAGCCCTTAAACATGCACGTACCTTGACTTGTTGCCCCTTGCCTGCCTAGCCTGTACCCAGTTTTCCAAACAATAAACGGACCGCTTGAGAGAGAGAGAGAGAGAGAGAGAGATAGAGAGAGAGTGAGAGAGAGACTCCATTCCCTCTCATTTCTCTGTTTTCGTTTGGGTCCTTCCTTTCTTGGTAGCGGCTCTCGCCGGCGGCCTTCGGCCACACATGAGGGGACGGCAAGGGATCTTGTGTGGCAAGTGCGAAGAAGCACATGCAGCAACAACAAGTAGACAACCAGACCCTACGGCGGCGCCACCCATGCCACACGCATGGAGGGCCTCCTAATAGTAGTGGTGCGTTCGCCCCCTACACAGCTCGCAGCAGATGCGAGCACCTGGCGGACCTACTCAAGGCGAGGCCTGGTCGCTCGATCTCCTCAGCCCTAGCCGCTGCCAGCTGCGCGGACACAAGGCCATGTCCTGCTCCGCCCGCTGAATTCCCGTCAGGCCTTCCACCTGCACCCTCGGAGGGATCCGCAGCCCGCCAGAGCACCGACTCCCCTGCCAGGCACGGCTGCCCAGGGAGATCTCCTCCGACAACTCCGCTTCCCCCATCTCCGCTGCTTCTGCCCCCCCCTCAACTTCAGTGGGGGAAGCCAACAGCCGCCTCCTTGCATTCCCCAAGCCAGGAGGCACACGCCCCATAGCCATCGGGGAATATCTGCACCGACTGGCGGCCATGGCGGGTCTCACCACCTTGACGGAGCCTGCCCAGAGGCACTTCCTCCCGCTGCAGTCCTGCCACTCCTCACTGCCGCTCACTGCCCTGGACGCCGGCTTCGACAGTCCGCCTCTCCTCAGTGTGCGCAGAGTCCGGCAGGGGGACCCCATGGGCCCACTCCTCTTCACGGCCGCCATGCATCCTGCGCTCCAAGCCACGGTGGCGGTGCACCCAGACGTGCTACGCATGGCGTATGCCGACGACGTTACACTACTCATGGGCAAAGGTGCGGATTGCACAACCACCTTCGCCCACATCACCACCACCTAAGCCCTCTTGGCCTCACCCTCAATCCAGCAAAGTGTTTGGCCTGGTCCGCATCTCAACCCACCGCCTCTGCCCTCCCACGTGGGATTCCCTTCTGCACCGACGGACGGCGGGTGCTGGCAGCCACATCGCCCCCCCAAAACGGCGGCATGCTTCCTCAAGGAACAGCTCACGACAATGTCCAGGCCACTCCCCACCGTGGCAACAATGGACCCGCAGACAGTCTCCCTTCTCCTCCACCGGTGTGTCTCGCGCCGAGTATCCTACCTCATCCGCACCACACCGCTGAACCTCCTGCCCGTAGACGAGTGGTCCAAGTAGGGGGAGGAAATCTTCTGCACCCTCCTCCGCGCCTGCAACCTCCATCTACCTTGGGGGGAGGTGGAGCAGGAGCGAACACGGAACCAGGCCTCCATCCCGCCCTCCCTCGGCGTCCTCGGCTTGACGAACCCAGCGGTGGATGGGCCGCACACCTTCCTCACGAGCATCGCCCAAGCCCACGCACTGCTGGCTCTGCTGCCCGCCGCCTCATCAGAATCCCTGGCAGCAGCCGTGCTCCCCCTCGCACCCCCATTCACCAGCCCCAACCCCTTACATACCTGGCTGGCAGCATGCAACGCGGTGCTCCCAGCGCCCCCCCTGGAGCTCCGGCCGAAGGAACAATTGGAACCCTCGGGAGCGCCACTCCAGCACAGCCTCGCTCTGGAAGGTCCACGGTGCTCACTTCGCCGCCCAAGTAGTGGCCACTTGGGAGATGGAGCTCAACTCACTCAGCGGCCGCACCCAAAGGCTTCTCTCCATAGGCTAGAATCTTGTCTGCCCCAACATGCATGTTTGTACTCACCTTAACCGCCTAGCATGTACACAGGTTCTCAGCTAGGCTTGAGCATATTACCCGTGCAGGTCGGGTATACCCGACCCGACCCGACATTTACCCCGGGTCGGGCAGTGCTTGAGATACCCCAATGAAGGTATTTCTACCCGGCCCGGCATTTACCCCGAGTCAAGCATTTCTACGCTGCCCAGTGACCGACATGAGATCCTGAACCCCCACCTCCCAAATCACTTACTTAGCTGGAGATATAGAGAGAAAGGAGGCCCAAACTCCTTCCTCACCAGCGTCACAGGCCCATGCCCTCCTCGCCTCTCTGCCCGCTGCCCCAGACAGCCCCATGACCAAGGCTGTTGGGCCCCTCACACCCCCCTTCACCAGCCCAACTCTGCTACATAAATGGCAGGCAGCGTGCGAGCCGGCCCTCCCGCCAAGTGGCCTCGAGCTCCTGCAGTCGGAAAGCCTCGAGACCGGCCACGGGCGCACTGACACTCAAAACACCCTCTGTGACTAGTGCATCCGCATGGCGAGCAATGCGCAGTTCATCGTCACAAAGGAGACAGCTATCTGTCATCCCGTCGACGGCTGAACCTCCGATCTGGCAATCCGAGACGGAATCGGGGGCAGTCTGGATCTGTGACGTGACCATCACGGACCCGGTTAGCAACCGGGAACCTTTGGCCCACGAAGGCCGAGGGTACATGGCCTGGGAGCAAGCGGCGAAAAAGACCGACCAATACCGCAACAGGGCGGCCTACGTGGGGCTTTTCCTGCTAACCGTGGAGACGAACGGCTCCCCGGGCACCGCGGTCCTCTGTTTCCTGCAGATCTTGGCCAACACCGCTGCCCACCACCTCTTTAACACCGAACCAAGCTCCTACCAGGCAGCCAAACTGCTCAGCCAGTTTCGGCAGTGCTGGCCGGCTACCCTCCAGCGGGGTCAGCCCTCACATGCCTCGGGAAGGTGAACCCTGGCTGAGTGTGCCCAAGTCGGCGCGCCCGGAGTGGATATGTCCCTTGGGGACTGCTTCGCAGTTTTGGAGTCCACAGGGGAGCCCCTGTAGGACAGCAGCCCGCGGTAGTCCTAGTATGCACGCTTGTACTCACCTCGCATGCTTACTGAGAACCCAGGTTTCAACCATTACTAAGGACCACTTGAGAAAGCAGAGAGAGCAGCATTTTGATGCCCGGGAGCCCTAGGCCGTGCATCGACCCAGTTTGTACCAATGTACCCTTCATAAGGCTAGCTGATAGAGAACAGGATTTTAAGAACAGAGGGTGCATCCAGTGGGAAGCATTGGACTGTGTGCATTTGAAAGGACTTGCCTTGGAGAGCACATTCTGGTGCCAAGTCTTTGCCCTCCACATCCGTTCCAGCAATTCCTCTTGCTGCTGCCCCTTTTGTGCACCATCGTTTGCCCAGCATTAGACCCAGCAGCACGAGGACAACCACACCGCCAGCAACAGCAATGCCAGCAATAGCTCCAGTGGATAAACCACCTCCAGACTGGGAGGGAGAGGCTGCGGGTTGACTAGGAGTGGAAGTGAGAGTAGATGGAGAGGGTGTGGTGGCTGGAGAGGGTGTGGGGATGGTGATGGAAGGTGAAGGTGGAGAGGGGGAGGAGGGTATTGGAGACCCGGGGGGGTTGAAAGGGGGGGAAAATAGAAGTTAAATAGAAGGGGTTGAAAGGTTGGAACACGTACTCTTGTCATACTGTTGAGTGAAAGCAACGAGTGTAAGTGATGAAGGAAAGTGCAACTGAGCCAGCACATTGGGGGTTTTAGGAAGTAGCTATGCTGCGAATAGCTGGTGCAAATTCTAAGAAGACATTCAGTTGGTGGCTTGCCAGTGGATAGTGAGTCTCACTGGGTGGTGGCTTGCTACAAGTGGAGCAGAAATCTGAACACTGGCTGCAGAAAGCGCTTGAAGTCTTCTGTGGGACCACACAACTGCTGTAGTCAGGTGGGCACGTGATTGCTGTTGCAGAGATGTCCCTGCCAGGAACAAGAGGAATAAATGTTATGCTCTTAGTGAATGGCGTCAATCAACTAAGCAGTTCCATAAGTCAGAGCGTGAGAGTGAGAGTGAGAGCAACTAAGCAGTTCCATTCATTCTCTTTTCCTCCTTGGTTTCGGCTCGCGCCAGAGAGAGAGAGCGAGAGAGAGAGAGAGAGCATGAGCCTTCCCTCAGCTATATAAGGCCCTCTCTCTCCCCATTCTCCTTGTTTAGTTTCCATTCATTCTCTTTTCCTCCTTGGTTTCGGCTCGCGCCGGCGGCCTTCGGCCGCCGTCGCTCGCGGCGCGGCCTTCGGCCGCGCCGTTAGGGGATGACAAGCAACAAGAATACAATATAGGACTCATCGGTAGTGGACAACATTCGCCTGCAGGGCCTAGCCTAGGCATACACAAGCACCCATGGAGCACCTGATACGCCGTGCGGGGGCGCTCAGACCGCAGGACTCACCGCCCGGCCGCACCTACTCTCGCCGCTCCGCTATTCCGCGACAGCCGCCAGCCCAGCCTCCTCCAGCAACGCGGCCTGCTATGACAACAGGACCTGCAGCGTGGACACGGCGCCAGCTACAAGCCCTGCAGCTGACGCCGAGTCTATGCTCGCCGACACCTGGCGGAGAGCGGCGAGAAAGTGCGGGTCCGTGCCTGTTCCCCGGGCGGGCCCGGGTCGCGCGCGTGCGGCCTCCACAGCAAGATCTATGGCTGCTTCCATGCAGCCCTGAAGGGGGAAGTACGGGGCCATTGACCGGCCCCCTGAGCTCCCCAGCGCGGAGCTCGCCGCCGCCAGAATCGTCAACAGTATCTCGGTCCCCCTCCGAGCATGCCCAAGGCGACGAAGTGTGGCGGCTGGGACCGTTATCCCCGCAGGAGCCGCCGTCAGCAGTCCCGCCGTCAGCGGGCTCCAACGCGTCGCCACCCCGGCCCCACGGGCACGACGGGGAGACCCCTCCCCTGGCGACTCCGCGCCCCCCGTCTCCGCTGCTTCTGCCCCCGCCTCTACACCCCGTGGGGATGGCGCCCGCCGCCGAGGGGGAACAAACGGACCGACCACACCCCCTCCGCGGTAGAGCCCCACCTGGGGATCGGACCACTCCGCCGCCCCAGCCCAGGACGAGGGGGGTCGCCACTCCGGGAGAGTTTCGGCGGATAACGCGGGGCTGCCTCTCTGGGGCGCTGGCAGGGACTGATGGTGCAAGTCGTAGTACCCGGGGGGGAAGTGGACCGGCGCGTGCGAGGGCAGCGGGTGCGCGGCGGGGTGCTGGACAGTATACGGGCCCCCAGGCGGCACATGCTGTCGCGGAGGCGCCGGCGCGGATGGGTGCAGAGCCGTCGGAGGTGGCGGCGGGATTTGCAGGCTCGACCACTCACTTCCACGCGCCATTGCGAGACAGGGTTGCACGGGCCGCAGCTGAGAGGGAATCGACCCAACATGAGCCGGCTGGTCGGGGAGGGTCGGTGGACGATCTCGGGGAGGAAATGGAGGCTGCGTATGACAGGGGGGCTGCTGAGGGGGCTCCTGCTGCGGGGGCGAAGGGAGCAGCCCAGCGCCAGCCCGCTCGAGTATCCCCTCCAGCGTTGCGGCAGTCCGCGCCAGCCGCCTCTCCAGAGCGCACCCCCTTCGCCCCCGACGTGTGCCAGCTCGCCCCGAGGGGCCGTTTGGCGCACGCTGCTGTTGCGGAAGGGGCCGAGACGGCAGCACAGGGGGGGGGCGAGGGCCCGCCGCACGTGACACAGCAAGCGGCGACAACGCAGCAGGTGGACATTGGCGGACCTCGGCGCCCGCCACCACAGCCCGCCCCTCCAGCCGAGGCGGCGTCGCCGCTCGCATCCGACCAGGGGATGCTGGCTCGCTCGTCGACGGCGCTGGGAGCCCGCGTGCCCACCGCCGGTCCGACTGAGGGGGGGAGCTCGACCGACCTCGGGGGAGGACGTTTTCCCCCGAACTCTCACGGTCAACAGAGCGCTCCCTGCGAGCGCGGCTGGCACGGAAGGCCATTCGACTCGCCGATGACCCCCAGAACCGGCACGGCGAGGCAGCGGGGCGAACGCCCGCCTACTCCACGCTCAGCTGCACGGGGCAGCGGCTCGCGGAGGGGACGCGGCGGCAGGGGGCGCGGACGCTCGCCTAGCCTGATGGCTAACGGCGGACCACTGAATGGCTTCCACAGGGCTGTGGGGAGGGCTTTAAGAGAAGAGGCAGCCGGAAACACGAATGCTGCTGAGGAACGTGCGGATGCCACTTATAGGCAGGAGGCAAGGGAAGAGACTAGCACGGAGGACTCAGCTGAGGATGACGGGGGCGAAGGACCTGACCGAAGACAAAGGCAGGCGGGGCGGAATCAAAGGGAACAGCGGGCACCGCGTATGCGAAATTATCGGGACAACGAGGTACAACCCAACCTCCCTCCCCGCCAATTCTCGCCAGAAGACCTGGCGAATAATGAACCCCTTTTCACGGGGATCGCAAATTGGGACATCGGACGGCTTTGCGACAGTCGCCAGCCCCCACTTTCCCGTCGAATCCCCCCCAAACTACGCCAGCTTTTCGCCCTGGCGCTCCTGACACCTCTGCTCCACATCGCAAAAAACCCTTCTAGCCTCGCAGGCTGGCGCCTGTTACTCTTCACACCCCGACTCACCCTTCGCCTCAATTCGCCGCGCCACCCAGATTGGCCAGCGATAGAGCGGAGGCTGCAGCAGTTCCTGGCCGGCGAATGGGAATCGCTGTACCTGGCAGCAGCTGACGCGATACACAACCCACCTGTACCACGACACTCAGGAGACACCCTTGGCAAAATATCCCGCGCCGAGGGCCTCGTCCGTCGTGGCAGCCTCAGGCGTGCCCTCCTGGCACTGGACTCGACCCCGGTCAGCGAGTCAACGCCGGAGGTCCTCGCCGCACTGACCTCCAAACACCCCCCCCCTCTGACTGAGTCCCTTGACTGGCCTGCCCTCGACGAATCTGAGCGACTCCCCTCCATCTCGCTGGCCGATTTCGTTCGGTTACTTAGCCGCAGCGAAAACGGAGTTGGCGCGGGACCGTCGGGCATGTGCTTCGAACACCTTCGCGACGCAGCCCTCGCGAATGCCTCAGTCGCCAGCAAACTGCACGGGGTAGCACAAATCCTCCTAAAAGGTTCCACCACTCCAGAGGTAGCCGGGCTCCTCACAGCTAGCCGCCTGCTAGCGTTCCCGAAGCCAGAGGGGGGCACCCGCCCAATAGCAGTGGGCGAATGCCTCCACCGCCTAGTGGCGAAAGCGGGCCTCGCCGCCATGAACGAGCCCGCCCAAAGCCACTTCCTCCCACTGCAGTTCGGGGTGGCGGTCAGGGCTGGCGGCGAGGCGATAATCCATGGCGCGAGAGCTTTCGCCACGGAATCCCCGTCTGCCCTCCTGCTCCAACTTGACCTTTCTAACGCTTTCAACAGCGTCGACCGCGGGGCCATCATCACAGGGCTCTACAACTCCCCGCTCCGCCCCCTCCTCCCCTTCGTACAACTCTCCTACGGCGCCCCCTCCACTCTTTTCTTGGACGCGGGCTTTGACAGCCAGCCCCTCCTCAGCGCCCGCGGTGTCAGGCAAGGGGACCCCATGGGACCTCTGCTCTTTGCCGCCGCCATGCATCCCGCCCTGCGAGAGACCGCCCAAGCGTTTCCCCGCGTCCTCTGCCTGGCATACGCCGACAACATCACCTTGATGGGGGAGCCGGCCGCATGCACAGCCGCATTCGCCCACCTCACCCACGCGCTTCTTCCTCTCGGCCTGACCCACAACCCGGCTAAGTGCGCAGCATGGTCCGCGGCCCATCCCCCCCCCGACTCCCTTCCCCCCGGGATCCCCTTCTGCGCCTCCGGGTTGCGGATCCTGGGCAGCCATATCGGTCCCCCAGATGCAGCAGCCAGCTTCCTGCGTGAGCAACTGGCCGCAATGGCCGAGCCACTGCCAACCCTGGCAGCCATGGACCCCCAGGCCGCCCAGCCTCCTCCTCCACCGCTGCGTCTCTCGTCGGGTCTCCTACCTGACCCGCACGACGCCGCTGAACCTGCTCCCAGCACAGGAGTGGTCCCAGTGGGGGCAGCAACTCTACCTCACCCTCCTGAGGGCCTGCCATCTCCAGCTCCCACGGGGGGAACAGGAGATGTCGCGCACGTGGCAACAGGCCTCGCTCCCCCCCTCCCTCGGAGGGCTCGGCTTGACGGACCCCACAGTGGAGGGACCCCATGCCCTCCTCACCAGCGTCACCCACGCCCAACGGCTCCTGGCCTCCCTCGCCCCAGACCCATCCGCCCCCCTCGGGACAGTGGCCCGCTCCCTCGCACCACCCTACACTAGCCCCACCCCCCTCCACACCTGGCTAGCTGAGTGCGAGGCGGCGCTGCCGGCCACCGCCCGGGAACTCCTGCGCGCCGAGCCCTCGGAACCATCCGAAGCTCCGCTCCAGCACCGCCTCGCCCTAGAGGTCCACGCTGCCCGGTTCGCCGAGCAGCTAGAATCGACCAGGCACATGGAGCTAAACCCCCTCAGCGGTCACACGCAGCGGCTCCTCTCCCTCACAGGGTACGGAGCAGGGGACTGGCTCCTCGCAGTCCCCCTCTTCCCATCACTCAGGCTGGCACCTCCTCACTTCGCCATAGCCCTCGCCTTCCGCCTGGGCACGGACGCACTGATACACACAACGCCCTCCGGGACGAATGCATTCGCATGGGCCAAGACGCACAACTCATTGTCTCGAAAGCAACAGCCCTATACAACCCGGTCGACGGCAAGACAGCCGACCTAGCCATCCAGGACCGGGACTCGGGGGCGGTCTGGATCTGCGACGTCACAGTCACGGACCCAGTCAGCTCCAGGGACCCCCTTGCCCGCAAGGGACGCGGTTACATGGCCAGGGAGCAGGCGGACAAGAAGATCGACATGTACCGCCACAGGGCAGAATACGTCGGCTTCTTCCCGCTTGCTGTCGAGACATACGGCTGCCCTTGCACGGAAGTGCCGGTCTTCCTCAAAATTTTAGCCCACACGGCTGCCCAGCGCCTCTTCAACGCCGACCCCAGCTCTTACCAGGCGGCGAAACTACTCAACCAGTTTCGCCAGCGCTGGTCGGTCACCCTCCAACAGGGACAGGCACTAACCTACCTGGGGAAGGTGAACGAAGTGTCACCGCTGGAGTGGCCCCCCTTGGGGGGACCCGATGCGGGCATGTCCCTCGGGGACTGCTTCGCCGTGCTAGAGCATTAGGGGAAGGAGGGGGGGTGGTAGGACCGGGTACTAAATCTCCCCACCGGTAGTATTTACCTGTGCCTTCTCCTCTTGCCTAGCATGTACCCAGGATTCCCCAGCAACAAAGGACCATTCGAGAGTGAGGAAAAGGCTAGCGGCATTCTTGAACAAGCCTTACAGGGCTGAAAGACGGGTAAGGCTGCCAATTGTTGGGGGAAGCTGGCCAGTGAGATTGTTTAGGCTGACAAAACTGCTACAGTGCATGAAAATGGGGATGAAAAAGGGCCAAAACATGTCTAGAACCAGAAGGGTATCTCGTCAAGATCACTGAGTGCTATTCCCCAAACACAATCGGCTCACACAAAATACTTGGAATTGGCTCTTATTTCCTTCCCTTGAAGGCTAGATGTCCAAGGCAATGTGCTGGATAAATGGACAACCCAGCTGGCGAATTGCCTATATATTAGGGATGAAAATTACTAAGATTATCATTGACTTCGTTCATGTTTACCTGTTTCCATACAGGTTTTATACCTCCCAAGTTGAGGATACCCCTCAAACCACAAGTCTGACGGATAGGAAAAAACAGTCACTTTTTAGCATGAAGGCCACATCACACATGTCTATGACTCACACGTTAATGAGGGGGGATGAAAACCTACAGACTTGAGAGGTTTACGAGCTTGCTGATGGATTCAGGAATGCTGCCACTTAAGCTGTTGTTACCGAGGTACCTGGTGGGGCACCAAACAGAAGATGGTATTGCACAAAAATGCCTACAGGATGTCAAGGTTGCGAAATTATATCATGACAAGAAAATAGAACAGCTGCGCATCAGGCCCCTTTAGATGTCACCTTATTTAAGCTCCTTTCCCGTGTACTTTTTTTTAACCCCAACTCTTGACCTGAGAACGTACAATTTCCTCAAGTTGATGAGGTTTCCAATGGACCCCGGGATGGTCTGTGAGATGAAGTTAGATTGTAGACTCCTGCGCCCATTAAAGCCGTTAAACCGAAATTCATGTATTGGGGAATCAAAATTAAGTCTTGAAGAGCAAAAAAAAAGGGTAACTGGGTATAGGGAGAACACTGGCTTGCTAAAAAACAATTGCGAGCTGATTGGCCGAAGCCCCAGAGCCCATCTGAGCGCGCACGGGCGAGAGCCCAGCGAGAGTACCCTCACAAACTTGAAACCCCATTGCATGCAGTTCGAGACTCTTGACACCAAACTGAGCACAGCCAAGCTCAAGCCAGACCTGCCCCCCTCTTCCCCCCCCCCCCTCGTGTCCCATTTCGTCTCGGGATTTTTTATGAAGAGATGGGCACTGGCCTCTACACCTTCTCCGAGTTGCGTTTTCACCTGGCTAACAGAGCCCAAGTCGGGCTTTTTAACTGCCAAAATCTGCCTTTATATATTGAGTATCAATTAGAGCATCCAACGAGCTAGTGAGTACCGTTCAAGCCAGAAAAGGGATTCAGTTCAAGGCCTTGATGCTTACAAGTAAGTGAGGCTGCTCATGCTGCCAATGGAAGACGGAATAGGCCCAGTCAAGGCATTAATTCCAAGGTCCCTGATGGTGCGAAGTATTCCAAAGGTGGAGTGAGTGAAAACAAAACGAGAAGGAGTGGGATGAGCAAATGTTCATGAGGGCTTGGTTTGGCTTGACATGATGACCTGTGAAATGGGGCACATCCCAATGCATACGCTCAACTGCACAACTTGCTGTTAATATCACAAATATTTTTTGTCTATTGAAGCAAGCAAGGTACACACACAAAACAACTGGTGATCATAAAGGGTCACAAACAAGGCAGGAGTTTGTCTCAAGGAAAAAGACGGTCACACGCAGATTCTTTCAGCGGCACCATTCCTTCTACGTGAGAGGCGAGGCTCACAGGTAGCACAGTTCGAGGAGACCAGCAATGCTTGAGGGTATCGAGCCTCTGAGATAGTTCCCAAAGAGATTCCTGGAGACCATTAATGCGAAACCAAATGACTGGAGGTTAAGGCTGTATCATCACTTGATCACAGTCAAAAGTGTGTGTGATTGATGAAGAGGGGTAATTCAGAGTTATTCAACCTTCAAAGCCATATGCACATAACACAACCAATGCTTAAGCAACTCGGGACAACGGGCTTGGCAGCCTGAACATGAGCATAGATGCATATCTCCCTTCTTAAGAGGTGTAGATACGAACGGAAAGTGCTTGTGATCATTTCTGCATACAAGAAAGCTGAAAGTGTTTTTGGGCGACACTTTGTGCATGCACGTAATGCACTGGGAAGTGTTGGCGAGGTGTTGGGACATGTTTGCACACACGCACGCAAGAGAAAGGCACTCACAAGTGCAAAACATTATGCTAGTGGCTTCCAGTGGTACTGACAGGTATGTCAGGCTGCTTAAGCTTCCAATGTCTCCAGGGATTGATCCTGTTAAGTTGCTTGACTCCAAGTTCCTGATAAGATACAAGGAACCAGGGAGACAAGAAGTCAAAGAGACAAGGACACAAGCAGACATATGTAAAGCGACAGCAAAGGGGCTGGGTCGAGAGCGAGAAGGATGTCAGCATATGTTTATATCCATTGTTTAAGTCAGAATTGCACGTGTGCAAGTAATCATGGCTAAATTAATCATTCTGTGCAATAGGTTTCTTCGCATTCTATTAAAACTCCTGAGATCCTGGAGGGGTTATGAGTACACAAACCCCCATTTTTTAAATGCCCTTTTAACCCAGTTGGTTAGTAGACTGGTGTTTTAAGATGGACGGCCAGCAAGGTTGGGTGAACTCACATGCTGGTGACCATGCCCTGTGCATCGCACTCCACATGCGCGGCAGTGCTGCAGCTGCCACCAGCCACCCACCCAGCGAAATTCCGCCCCCACGCCTGCTGGAAGTCCAGCAGGAGTTGCACTGGAGGATAGAGGTGGGTACGAGGGAGAGAACGAGGCAGGAGGGATGAGCAGAAGGAGAAGGGATGGGGGAGTACGAGGAGGGAGGAGGGGAAGGAGGGTGGAGCAAGAAGTTGGGGAGGCGAATGGGAAAGGGAGGATGAGCCGGCCAATCTTCCTACAGGGCGCAACACTGCTCATCACTACATAGTCATCACTGCATCACCACCCGATCTCATCAGTTTGTGCCCTTCCACTCCTCAGTTCTCAGTTTTGATACTCGTCAATACATGCTCCCCTCCATCATGTGGTACAGTGGCACGAGTGCCGGAGTGACACGCGGAGCTCATCCAGGCTCGGCTCGTGAAGTAAAAAACTCACGGGGGATATCCGATGAAGGGAGGCCACGCAGTGCGGATTAACATGCGAGAGGTGGTGACTCACTTTGGTCGGACGAGGGTGGAGCAGAGGGTGGAGCAGAGGAGGGTGGAGCAGAGGAGGGTGGAGCGGAGGAGGGTGGAGCAGAGGAGGGTGGAGCAGAGGAGGGTGGAGCGGAGGAGGGTGGAGCAGAGGAGGGTGGAGCAGAGGAGGGTGGAGCAGAGGAGGGTGGAGGAGAGGGTGGAGCAGAGGGTGTAGCAGTGGAGGGTGGAGCAGAGGGTGGAGCAGAGGAGGTTGGAGCAGAGGGTGGTGCCATGTCACATGAGTTGCAGAAAGATTGGCACTGCCGGCAGAAAGCGGTGGAAGTTTCCTGTAGGACCACACAGGCGCTGTGGTCCGGTGGGCATGTGAGTGCATTTCCTGATGTGTTCCTGCACAGGGGGTAGTTTCAAGGTCAGAAAGTGGGATATCCGCGTCGTGAATGTCATTGCATCACGATCTCTGCATTCTAGGGTTGCCCTTGGATGGGACTAGCATGCTGGACTTGTGGATGATCTAATGGCGATATTGGTTGGCCTACGGGTAAGAACAAATGGTTAGGCTGCCGATGGTTGTAGGGAGGCTGCATAAACACTTTCCTGCGAAATGCTTGGGAAGGCTATTATTTCGTCATCGTTACTATGAAGGATTGGATTCAGTGCTCCTGTGGGATCACACAGGTGCTGCAGTCCAGTGGGCGTGTAATTGCACATCCAGATTTGTCCCCGTATAGTAGCCATGACCCGGCCCAGTCCGTTTCAGGCCGGCCCGACCCTGGTATGGGCCGAGCCGGGGTCGAACCGAGTTTGGCAAATGCCTGGCCCGAGCCCGGGTTTAGGGTCAGGCTGGCCTTGGCCCGAGGGCCGGCCGGCCCGCCCGCAGGCAAAACCGGTTTGGGGGTGGGCTGGTGGCGGGCTGGGCCTTGTGCTCATGCCTGGCCGCCCCCTGAAACCGGGACAGGGGTGGGAAGGGGGCGGGCCCAGGGGTGGGCCAAGCATGGCCGGCTTAGGCCGGCCCGCCTAAGCACGGGCCGGTTTTCAGGGCCGGATCGGGCCAGGGTTCGGACCTTTTGATCATGCCTACTGTACAGGGAGTAATTATCAAGTGTTCAAAGAAGAAAAATTGGATTTCTTCCTCAGTGATTCCAATTCCACGACAATCTCTCCATTCCAGGGTCGCCATTGCATGGGACCAGTGTGCCAGAGCTGTGAAGTATTTAATGGTGAAATTGGATTGGCGTACAGTTTTGAAAGATGGGTAAGACTGCCCATTGTTGGAGGGAGCTGGCCGGTGAGATTGTTTTGGCTGACATCCCTGCAATGCAAACAGCCGGTCCTCTCACCCCGCCCAAACACACACACAAAACAAAAACACGCGGATGTGGAGATACATCAAAGTACCGCTGAAGGACGTTTTGTGAAGATCACTGATGACTATTTGGCGAAATAGATACCCAGCTATCATAAACACTAACCTGCATGGAGCTAAACAGCTCTTTTTTTGTCATCGTGGAAGCTAGAGCAGAATAAATGAGCGGTCTGTATTTCTCATGAAAAAGAGGACGAGTACTCCAATGATCACCCATTCAGCAGCAAGACTTAGCAATTGTTAATTCCTTTACCCTTCTATTCTCCATGTGTCAAGGTTTTGCTTATAACTCCACAGATGAATCGTTTCTCCTTGAAACAATCTTCACGACCAAACGACTTGTATGAAAGATACAGTCAACAGTTCCATAGCAAGGTCAAATGGCACATGGCTATGGCACACACGTTTATGAGGGGAGATGAGAACATACAATTCCGTGAGATTTACGAGCTTGCTGATGGACTCAGGAATGCTGCCACTCAAGTTGTTGCTGTAAAGGTATCTGGACGGGCAAAGACCGAAAAAACATAAATTAGGCTTGCCACATAAAATAAGCGTGGAATATACACCATCTTGTGCAGTTTGAAACTCATGGTTCTAAAAGAAAAGCCCTCGGCATTGGTCTGCCTCTCCTCGTTGTTTGTCACCTTAGACAAGCCCTCTCTTTGGGCACCTTTATGTGTCACTAAAGAAAAAATTAAGCCCGTACAATTTTTGCAGGTTGATGAGGTTTCCAAGAGACCCTGGGATGGTGTGTGAGAGTGAGTTCCAGCTTACACGCCTGCATCCATCAGCGGCAGAAACGCAACAAGGTTATGAAAGGGAATTTGAGGAAAAATATAGCCACAATGTCCAAGAACTAGGTAGAGAGTAGACTTGTGCTTCGCTTACAGGTACGGACTACTGAAAGGATGTGAAAGGGCAATTGAAGGGAGGGATTTCCAGAAAGACCCAGAAAGAGGTAGACACTCAACGAATGCTTTGCTGAAACGTACAAACAAGTGCTATCCGTTCCAAACATGGAATTTCAACTGTTTTGCCATGCACTGACAGGTAAGTGAGGCTTCTCATGCTGCCGATGGTAGATGGAATAGACCCAGTCAAATCATTACTTCCCAGATCTCTGAAAGCTCGTGGAAAGCAAAGGGGAGAGATGAAAAGGGCATGACATGGTGACACATCCCATTGGGTGCATTCAAGTGCACACAAAGCTATCTTACATTGTAAACCGTAATTTGTGCCTACTAGGGCGATGACCTCTTGTTACAAGAAATGGTAACAAAAATTTGTCATAGTCACAACAACCGGTCACGGGCAGTGTGGTTAAGAGGCAACTTTCTCGTAGAAAATTGCAGTCCTCACAAATAGTGCAGATTGAGAAGATAGGCGATCGCTGAGGGTATCGAGCCACCGAGACTGTTCCCAAAGAGATCTCTGGAGACGATCCAATGGAAAACCGAAGGCGAGAGAGATTAAAGGCTGAATGAAAGAAATAAAGTGCTCATCAATTAGGGCCAACTCTATGTGCCAGGAAAGTCGAGTGGGTCCTCTAGAAGCCACAGTGCCAAATGTATTTGTGAGATACAACAGACCTGTAAGCATCTAGGGATAAGAAGACGAAGAAACAAAGGCACAAAGAGGAAAGCAAAGGGTCATGGGTGTTAGAGTCATGGGTCTAATCTTTGTCGATTGGATGCTTGCCAAATTCCCGACCCCACCGAAACGCAATCCCTCGAATTTTCCAATCCTCAACTTGTGAGATTGCATTGGGCATTTCTACCTTACCAGTCCATGTGGCTCAACTTCTTTCTACGAAAACAAGCAGGCAAGGAGACACTAAGACAAAAACACAAGGAGACAAGGATGCAAGTTATGAATGAACTCAGATGTGCTGTACGCACATGCACCCCTCGTGTACCACCTACAGCTGCATCAGAAGTCCACTCAAAAGAGCTCGCTTTAGGGTTTCCGTATGTGCATGGTCATGCTCATACCAGGTTAGCTTTACTCACAGGTAAGTCAGGCTGACCATGCTGCCCACAGAAGATGGGATGGATCCGGTTAAGCCCTGGCGATCTAGATCCCTGGTAGGGTACGGGGTGAGAAGGCAAAAGCGAAGAGAGAAAAGGATAGAGCGTGAAATGGAAGGACTCACGAAGAACATTGAAGACGGGAAAAGCGTCGGATATTGGTGTTCTGTTTTGAGGCCAATGCGCATTGAAAGGGGACAACCCTCAAATATTCCACCCAGGAGAATGCACATCGCATGGAGGTGAGAGAAGACGCATCGTCGCATGTACATTCTCGTATGTGCACCATGCTGCACTGCACTGCACTGCACTGCATCGATGCGAATTGTTTGCGTCCAAGAGGGCTATAAAAGACTTTAGGAGACGAGAAAAAAAAAATGGTGCTTGGATCGTCGCTGCTGCCGACTGGGCTGTGCCTGACTCTTTCCAATGTGAGCCAAGCGAAGGATAAAGGAGGGGGGTGGGGTGAGAGAGTGATGCGCTAGGGAGAACGTGGCATTGAGGTAGGTGGTGAACGAGGGAGTAAAGCAAAGGGCGTGATAGACGAAAAGAGCACAGAGAGGCATCCGAGGAATGCATGCCGAGCAAGGGTTGGCACACGCACATGCTGGTGATCATGCCCTGTGCATCGCACGTCACGTGCTCCGCACTGCTGCAGTTTCCCCCAGCCACCCACCCAGCGAAAGTCCGCCCCCACGCCTGCTTGAAGTCCAGCAGGAGTTGCACTGGAGGCAGAGGGAGGAGGGGAGGGGCGGAAAGGGGGAGAGGAGCAGGCACGAGGAGCGAGCCAGCTCAAGTGGGATATCCAAGTGAGAGAGGTCATCCAGAGGGGGTTGACATGGGAGGAGGAGGTGACTCACTTTGGGTGGGCGAGGGTGGAGCAGATGGCGGTTCAGTGGAGGGTGGAGCAGAGGAGGGTGATGACATGGCACATGTGTTGCAGAAGTCAAGGCACTGCCGGCAGAAAGCGGTTGAGTTGTCCTGTGGGATCACACAGCTGCTGTAGTTCAGTGGGCATTCGATTGCAGTGTCATTTATGTACCTGCAAGTGCACAGGGGGTGATTTTAAACTTTTCAACGAAGAGGATTGATTCAAACCCATTGCACGACATCTCTGCATTCCAGGATGGGACTCGTGTGCCAGATTTTGCGAAGTATTTAGCGGTGATATTGGATTGACGTACAGGTATGAAAGACGAGTAGAGCTGCCCACTGTTGGAGGGAGGTGGCCGGTGAGATTGTTTTGGCTGACATCCCTACAATGCCAAAAAACCCCCTTGCCCCCCCCCTTCCCCCAGCCCCCCCACGAACACACGCAGACACGGACATGCACCAAAGTAGCACTGAGTGACGTTTTGTGAAGATCGCTGCAGAATATTTACCAAAACAAATCAACCGCTTTGATAAACACTCTCCCGCATAGCGCTTTTGAATGGCTCTCATTTTGTCAGCGTAAAGGCTAGAAATGAGTGTATCAACTGCTGCTTCTCTTGTGCTAAATGTCATTGGAAGGTCACATGCCACGTGGCTATGCTTTATAGCTTAATAAGGGGACATGAGATGAGAGCATACAGTACTGAGAGATTTACGAGCTTGCTGATGGAGTCGGGAATGCTGCCACTTAAACTGTTGTTGTAGAGCCATCTTGGAGAACGAAATGAGGGGCAAAAACACAGAAGGCAGTATTGCAAATATGAGGCTTACCATGATAAATTAGCATAGAAGATATACTGGCCCATACAGACCGAAACTTGGGATCGAAGAATAGCTTGATGATGAGAACGCTCAGTTGGATGTCACCTTTTGTTGGCTCGCTTCTCGTTTTGTGTCACCTATTGTTGGCCCGCTTCTCGTTTTGTGTCACCTTTTGTTGGCCCGCTTCTCGTTTTGTGTCACCTTTTGTTGGCCCGCTTCTCGTTTTGTGTCACCTTTTGTTGGCCCGCTTCTCGTTTTGTGTCACCTTTTGTTGGCCCGCTTCTCGTTTTGTGTAACCTTTTTTAGGCCCTCTTTTCGTTGGGTGGGAGTCATGTTTTGTAGGCCCTCTTCTCGTGAAACATGTAGCAATTTTTTCGTTAGCACGTACAACTTCTGCAAGCTGAAGAGGTTCCCCAGGGAATCTGGGATGGTCTGCGAGAGGAAGTTCGAACTTAGACTCCTGCACCCGTCAAAAGCAGCAATGCATCAGGAATAAATAAAGTTACTCACAAAATGCTACTTCCTGCTAATTTGATGCGCACAGCGACCATGCAATAAGAGTAAGAAGTGGAAATTGGAATATGTCCTATTCGCATTTACAGTTGTGTTGCCATGATACTAACAGGTAAGTGAGGCGGGTCATTTTGCCAATGGTAGACGGAATAGACCAAGTCAGAGCATTCCTAGCCAGATCTCTGGTGGCACAGGCAAAGGGTTGAGAGAATGAAACCAACAGAGGAGTCAATTGAAGTGGGAGATCGAGTGGGCATGGCGTACTGACCATATGATTGTGTCACAAGCCTCACATCCCAGAGTGCCCAGTGCCAGAGCACTGTCGCACTCAAACAAGAATTGGTCACGAGCAAGAAGATACGAGACACTTTTTATCATTCTGCTTGAAGCGCTCACAAATAGCGAAGATCAAGGAGACCACCAATTCTTGATGGTATCCAGCCGCTGAGATGGTTTCCAAAGAGATCCCTGGAGGCCGTCAGATGGGAAACAAAGTGACCAGAGAGGGAAGGCCAGAGCCAAGGCTGAATCAGCGCAGCAATGTGTCAAATGCACATGCCATTGCAGGATGTGTGTGACGGATGAGGAGGGTGTAACTTATGGTTCCTCGACCCTCAGAACCAAACCCACACAGCGTTACATTGCTTAAGCATCTCTGGACAAGGCTTGGCAGCAATCTTCATTAACTCGTTTTTACAGCTTGCATACATTTGTATTACCACTTCTAACATCTGTCTTAACCACCAGGAAGAATGGCAACGCATCGTGCTAATGGTTCGCCATTGTACTGACAAGTGTGTTAGGCTGCTCATGCTTGCGATGCCTCTCGGAATTGATCCAGTTAAGTTTTTGTAGCTTAAACTCCTGACGAGACACAGGGAGACGAGGAGAATATGAGAGAGTAGGACCATGGTTCAAGCACAACGGCTCAAGGTGGCCATGTGACAATGGGGATGTCTGTGTGACAAATGCTCGCCTTAGTTACATCCTATTATATGGGTAACGTGGACTCACACGCCAGTGATCATGCCCTGCGCATCGCACGTCACGTGCTCCGCAGTGCTGCAGTTTCCCCCAGCCACCCACCCAGCGAAAGTCCGCCCCCACGCCTGCTGGAAGTCCAGCAGGAGTTGCACTGGAGGCAGAGGGAGGGGGCGAGGGGCGGAAAGGGGGAGATGAGCAGGAGGAGAAGGGTAGGAGGGAGGAGCAGGGGGGAGGCGGCGAGTGGGCAGGATGAAGGAGCAGGAGGGAGAATCTGGAGGACGAGGGACACAAAAGATTTGAATACTAGTTGACGGTAAGCATACTTAGTTCTACTCCTGTGATTTTTTTTCACTCCCGAGCACCCCAAGCGACTGAGAAACCTAGGGGTTTCGAGTTGCGTGAATGGCCTTCTTGACGGCACCGTCCATGATTCGTTCAACGAATGAATGTGTCTCGTATCAATTCTAAACTGTGACTTTCGCACACTTCGAAAACCAAAATCCTCCAGGAAACCTGACTCTTTCAGGAAACCTCTGCCAGGAACGGCCGTCTGGCAGCGTGTGCTTGATTACAACGCACTTTGGGAGGCGGCGTCGGGCACACAGCGGACTGGGGAAATCGCGGTGATACACGTCAGCACGAACAGCGCGCCGAGCCAAAGGCGGATTTCCGCGCTGCCCGTGCCCGTGCTGGCGATGGACCGTCCCATGGCGAGCGTGCCTCCACGGGAATGGAAGCGAGTCAGCCTCTGCGACGCCGCGTCTGGTGTGATGTTAATATTCCTAATGCTGACGACTGAGGCTGCGGAAAGGGGGGAGGAAGCCCTAGACTTTGTTTACTACGTTACAGGAGATTGCTTTCACTGAATGGAAACTCGCAAGAAATGAGGCGACGAGAGACATTGAAGCGAGAAGGTGAGGAATCTAAGCCAATGCAAGAGAAGCTAGTGCAAGTTATCAGAGAAGCAGACACTGGTGCAGCCCGGGGCTGCAGGGAGGAGCTTCAGTTTCCTGCCACGCAGGCGAGGTGAGGTCGCTGGCGACACCAGCGGTGCAGCGAAACACCATGGCGAGGGCGAAATTGTGACACTGGAATCAGCCAGCAGAAAGTGCATCTCGAACACTTGCGATTTCATCGTTCAGTTACCCTGATGTCAAAAGATCTGAGGTAAAGTGGATCCGATCTGATGGTGGGATGTCAGCAGTGCGAGTCTGGCGAATCAAGGTAGTGGCAGACTCCGTTGACGAACACCAACTCTGTGAGCTGCTCAAGCGAAAAGGAAAATGAGCGGCCTCTACAGCAAGACATCACTTGCAAGGCATTCAAAGATTCAATTAAATAAAAGTTATGCAATGTCCCATATGAAAACGTTTTGAAGTGACGCGTTATAGGTGTGGATGAGGTAAGACATGAGAGCATTATTCGGTTCCAAATTGGCATGTATTGGGGATACTTAAGGGCACGCGACGACGAGTAATACTGCAAGAAAGCATATGTACGGTACACAGACTGTCATAGAATGGCTAAAGGTGTATAGGTCTACAGTATAATTATCATATTCCCTAGCACTAACTTTTAGCTGAGTGCAGAAAGGGTAGTTACATGGGGATTTCACGGAACAGCAGCAGAGCAAATGGTAACATAGCTTGACGGGCATCAATTCGACATCATTAGATACATGGAAACTAGCAATAGACAAAGTTGTCAACTCATACATATTTCCATATGTAGCTGTTATAGGCTAGAAGGGTTCGTTCTCTTAGAGAGTACAACACCCAACCATATCTTCCCTTGTATGCCTCCATTCTAGTCATTCGGTTACTCTACGATGGTATCCGCTAGGTTAGGTCCGGCCACCCGTGCTTCCGCCCTAGCCGACCTAATCCTCCCTAGCCGCTCTAGCCCGCCCTAGCCGTCCTAGCCCACCCTAGCCGCCCCATCGGCGCTACCCTCTACTTCGTTGCCACGCGCCTTCCCGACCGCCTAGCCACTGCCCGCTACCACTTCCTAGGTCTCCACCACGCTGAACTCACCCTTATCGAGTTTGTCATCACCTTGTATGCGATAGACACCCACTAGCGTGCTATTGCTCAGTCGAGCACTATTGTGGCCATCCCTATCTTTTGTTGTGATATATGAAGTTTTGCATTCCTGCAAGTTCCGTTTTTGGTGTAGCTTGCAGTATCTCGTTTCTCAGTAAGTAACCATGCCCGAGTGCTGATGTCAGCAAAGCATCACGGGTCTCGGGATAACGTCAGCATACCGCTTTAGTTACGCGATTAGGCGTAACGAATCGTTTCAGTCACGCGAACAGTCGCGACCCTATAGTATGACGAATAGGTCGCATAGCGCGCAACTAGCCGAACAGGTACTTTCCCTAGAGCTATAAATCCTTGTAATGCCTTTCTATTATTAACCTTGACCTTCCACAGAATTATGTGCCCAGTTTATTCAACCTTCGACTACCCACAAGTTCATGTGCTCAGGTTCACTCCTATAAGACTTCTGCTGTCTTACTAGTCTACCATTCCAGTAAAGATCATAGGCTAACACTTGAGGTTTTCCAAGTGTTCGTGTTTGCAGATTCTATACTTAGTCTCCTGCAACACCTGTCAAATTATTACATAGTATGAGAGCTGTCTGGAATTAAGACTACTTTCAACAATGACTGGAACATCACCAGCAATATCTACCGGATCTAGTTCCGGAACTACTGGAGGCTTATGCGCACATCGGTATGCAGCAGCAGCAGCAAAATCCTCCTGTTAATACTCCAGGGACTCCTTCGACTATCCCTGCAGCGCAACAACAACAAACGCAGGCAACAGCACAACATCAGGCAACAGCACAACAACAAGCAACAGCACAGCAGTTTTCAACGCAGTCAACATCGTCAGCGTTTAGTGGAATGAGCCTTGACGGCTCAAGTTACATGCGTGGAGCTTCAGCTCCAATTACTGGCTCATTTGCGTTCTTACCTTTTACGCAGCAGCCGCAGTCGCATCAACAGCAGCCCTTTTACATCTTCGGGCGATCACCTGCTCAGCAACAACAACAGCAACAGCAACAGCAACAGCAACAGCAACATCAGCAACAACAGCAACAACAGCAGCATCCACAGCAATTCCAGCAACAGCAACAATAGCAACAACCTCAACAACACGGCATTATTTTTCAACCGCCAAATCTACTTACCAGCACGCAGATCAAGACTGCTATACCTTTCAACAGAGTTGATTTTTACTCCTGGAGCTTCGAGTTTGAGCTTCTGGCGCAGTCCGCCGGGCTATGGCCGTTCTTGCACGTATCCTGTTATGGGAACACAACTGGAGCAGCAGAGTTTCTTGCACGCCTCTCTCGGGGCGTATACGGTTCTCGTTCGAAACTTGTCACCAAAGGAGCAGCTCGGCGTTCGATCTTTTCATACAAGCTTCACGCCAGCTGACACTTCATGGAACCACCTGAAAGGGGTGTACATGGCAAAGGATACAATAACAATGAGTAAAATTCTTTCTCAGCTGACAAGTGTGCAGATGATGACAAACGAGAATGTCATATATTACGTCAATCGCGTCCGTACACTACGAGATCAACTGGAGAAGAGTGGTGGATACTTCCCTCTTGAGATGTATCTCACGGTCCTTCTTGTTGGACTTGGTCCCGAGTGGCGACAGACACGCGCCTTCTTGCGCATGAACGCGAATCTCTCCGAAGCTGAAATTTCGTCGTATCTTCAAGTAGAACAGCAAGATCTTGACCTGCAGTCACAACGCAACAAAAAGGGGGATATACAACTCAGTTTCTATTCAACACCAACTCGACGTCCTCGATACTTCTGTCAGATTTCCAACAAGGGAGGACATTCTACCGATCGATGCTACTTTAACAAGAGGTATTTAACTCCTGAAGAATCGCAGAGGTCGCAATCATCATAGCAACTATGACAGCCTTCGAAGCAGTCTTTGCAGCAGCCTGCCCCTCCAAAAACAACACCTGCAACATCGACAAAACCGTTGTCACTCAGTCGTGTTCCTCCAAGCAACTTATCCAAGTCGGCAACAAATAATTCAAACTCTGCCAACAATATGGTAACCTCAAAATTTCTCTTACCAACTTCAAACACTCACATGGCTGATTGCAATTCAGATACCGATACTTGGTACTTGGATAGTTGTTGTGGCCATCACATGGTCTCTTAAAAAAACCCTTTTATCTACAACCGTCGTCGATTTCTTCAACACTGCCCAATCACACTCGCCAACGGTCAAACAATTGCAGCAGAAAATATTGGCTGTCTACTTTTGACATCAATCGATACGGGGAACTCTTTATGCCTTACCAACGTTTTACTCGTCGACAACCTCGGCTTCAATTTAGTGTCAACTAATCAACTCTTGAAGAAGAAAATCCGCACGGTCGGAAACTGCACGACACAAGAGCAAGAGTTACTACATGATGTGGACAACACATACATCGGAAGAGCAGTAACCAAGAATGGCGTATTTGTCTTACGATTCAAAGCAACAAAATCTTATGAAGATGCCGCTCCTCTTCAAGCTCCATCCAATCATCGCAGCAGTCGCTTTGGTAACTGCTGTTAGAATTAAGGACGGAGTCTAGGTGAACTTGGGAGCTAGAATTACTCAAAATATAAATCCGAAATTCTGGACAGAAAAGTCGTCTCCACAAGAAACGTCGTCGACGAAACACTAGCAGTTGGAATGTCGTGAAACTTGGATATTTTGTAGCTATTAATCTCAGATATAGTTCCCCATTTGAATCACGTTGATTGATGGAGTATTCTCGACGCTATGTCTTTCGACACATGGAGGGATATGCTGTAGGAGAAGAGCTTAACTCAATCTCAAACTTCAATCAAGGTTCAAGAATCTCACAAGGAATTGGAGGAGCAAGTGAAAGGTTGGGATAGGAAGAGAGGGATGAGAGGGAAGGTATCAAGAGAGTCCCCAACCAAGGAAACCCCATAAGCACGAAGATTCCCTCCCTATAGAAACCCCAACTTTGACATTTGTCCCTTCCCAATCAATCCAACCAAGTTGGCCACCCTTGCAAACCTAGCTTGGTTGTTCCCAACCAATTTGCAGCTGCTACAGTAGAGTGACGAATTTACCCAACCCCCAACGGTCCCAACTCCATATAGAGTCACCCCACAACTTCACTTTGTAACCGCCGCAATTGTAACGCAAGCTCATGAACTTTGAATATTCATAGCTTTCGCGTTCTTGCTCTGATTGAAGCGATCCTTGTTGCGTCGGAGAGATCTTCTCAAGATCTATCATCACAAATACCTGCTCAAATAAAAATAACACAAAACACATTCCCAAACTCCATAACACACCATGTATAAATGCTTGCATACATTTAAGCCACACACGCAAGTTGAAAACATGGGATGGGAGGCAGACAGAATGTGATAGCATATGATGACATCACACAACAACAGCTCCACCAATGAACTTCAACATCATCGAAGAAGAAAATCAGAGTAGCAACACCACCGACATCCTTGCCGACACACCTGCCATTGATATCGAGGAAAATATTATTCAAGAAGACGAGGAAACTCTGCAACTCGCTCCTGAAAAATTCTTCGATGCTACAACTACTCTCGACAAGCCTTCTGGCAATTCTTCAACTACCAGTCTCCAAGAAAAAGGTTACTCAATCACCCTCCTGATTCTTGCTTGGCTGAGTATAGCAGCAAGCGAGCTCAGTACCACGCTGCAAACTTTCCTCTACTACAGAGCAGCCGATTATCACACCACGAGCTCCAACATTTACGAGCAAGACATGGGCATCAATCGTCATCAAACCCTTCATCCTGGTGTTCAACAATGCAACGAAGCAGAATGGTTGAGCAGTACCCCACACGAGCTACGTGAGCAGCTGCGTGCACTTCTGACTCA